GAAAAGCATTAATGCAGTTGAGTGCCACAAAAGAAGGTTATATAGGCATTAATGTATAACAGTTTTAATCCTGTTTGGTCTGCTGTAGTTTTGAAACATAGTCATATTAGCAAACATGAGCAAACCTATCCCTTTCAGTATTGTGTGAATGTGTGTGCATGAGTGTGTTGGAAATTGTTAATGGCTTGGGATCTTTCATTACCCTCCCACGGTTAGTCTGGTCTCTCGAGCAGAATTTAAATGAAGGACAATAACAAAGAGAAAGAGAGAATAGCTAGAGGTGAGCAGCACTGTTGAATACAGGGCTGCTAACCAAATGTCTTACGTTGCACTGCCCTCTTCAGGTGTAAAAGTCAATTACTGAAATATGTGTTTGGGAAGGTCAGAGGTTTTCAGCCTTGTGTTTCAGCTGGTTGAGAACCCCTTGTAGGCTATTACATGTTAGATTTCAGGGATGTTACAAGCCATTCAGTCGCTGAGAAAAAGGCAACATTTATTCATTTATAATAGAAAAAAGATAAATTGTGTTCTGTTTGGGTCAATATAATTAATTTTACTGTCACATAAACTTGTAAGACACATGGCCATATAGAACAACTCTAGTGTATTCTTAAAAACTAGTGTCTAAATCAAAATTTTCAGTACAGATGCTGTTCATGTCCATAATGGATTACTCTTGTTTGCTCAAAAGAGAAAACCTCTCTGATCCCTCCGTTTCACCTGATTGTGGGCACTATCTTAAGGAAACTGTTCATTAGCAGCTCTCTGTAGTTTATGCTGAAAGGACTCGGCCTCGGTAGAATGAATCTGTTTTTGTCCCACATCGCAGTATTAAAAATATCCTCAAAAGCTAATGATCTATGCAAATGGTTCTCTGCTTTCACTTATCTAATTGGAAACACACTAGCCAATTTTGAGCACCATTTGTCAATGACTTCCTCTGCGTCTCCTTCGCTGCATGCATTCACACACACACACACACACACACACACACACACACACACACACACATACACACACTCTCTCCCCCCTCTCCCCCCCTCTCTCTCTTAGACATTTTAATCAGTTTTGAGAGGAATAATTGCCCAGGTAGACATCTAAATATGGAGGTATTTCAATTACTCTGTGTGTCTGGCTTCAGGCAAAATATGGCTCACAGAGACTAATCAACTAAGACTGATTAACGTAGCATTTTATTACAGTCTGTGTGTGTGTGTGTGTGTGTGTGTGTGTGTGTGTGTGTGTGTGTGTGTGTGTGTGTGTGTGTGTGTGTGTGTGTGTGCGTGTGTGTGCGTGTGTGAGGCTGTCAACATCTAACGTAGATTAGCATTCAGGCAAGTGAATGTCCATCATTATATTAAGATCAGATCATCTCTAGGGATAGATTACAGACATCCTTTCCTCACATAAAGGGGCCATAAACAGTTTAGGCTAAAATAAGCTCCTGTGGTTCATCTGTGATTTCTTGCCCTGAAGGAACCTCACTGCCCTTAGCAGACCTTTTGAGGTGATGAGTAGAGGTCAAGGAGGAAGGGGCAACTTTTTCTGGAAGCTGTTTTATACGCTCACCACAGGCCTGCTAATTATATCACACACACTCTCAATTTCCAAGCATATGGACACTTTCGCTCTGTTGGAGACAGACTGCACAGAGCTCATATCTGATTAGCACTGAAGTGACAGCTGTCATGAGAAGAGCTTGATGTGTGTGCAGTGTTTTGCAGCTGAAGATGTGTTTTTGTTGTTAACCTAACTTTTATATCAAATATCAAATCCATTTGATGATTTGGTCAAAAGTCACGTAGACGCTAAATTTGGTTGATTTACAGCATGGCATAGGGATGGTAATGTCAGTTTGTCTGTTGGTAGTTGGCTAATGGATGGATTGCTGTTGCTGATCCCCAGAGAACGTATCCTAATGACTGTGACAGCCCCTACATTTTTCTCTTGCGCTGCTATGTGGTTCATCTGGGTGGGTTTTGAGTGAAATGTCTCCACAATTATTGAATGGATTGCCATTAAATGTTGTGTTCCCTTCAGGATGAATAGTAAACAATTTGGTTATCCCTTTACTTTTCATGTAGTACTATCACTCGGTTAAAATTGTAATTAGTCCACTACTTTGAGGCTGACATTCCCGTCAGCCTGTGCTGAATTTATATTCATTGCAAATCAGCAAATGTTACCATGCTCACAAGCTGAACTACATAGGCAACATAATGACCATCACCATGTTATTTGTCACTACTAGCACATTGGTATACAGACATTAGCATTTATCTCAAAGCACGGATGAGCCAAGTACAGACTCATAGAGTCTTGTTTTAGACATCTAGATTGCACAATGTTTATTTTAAAAAACCATGACCATATTTCAGTTGAAGCAACACCTAAATACATTTTACATATAGTCTTTAAGCTTATATGTAATCTAGACATCTAAAAAAGTTGTCCTCAGAAACAGTTTGGAAAAATATTTGATGGATCTATTGATTGGATGAACCATCCATCTATCACTATCAGAGGCTGACTTAAACCAATCAGATAAACAGACCAGTAGCGAGTCTGGAGAAGAGTTCTCTTGTCTTTTTATATTCATTTTTTATTCTATCCTGTCTGCTACGGTTGCTAATTGGTTGCAGCCACCTGACCAGTGCATGATGTGTGGACTGTGTGATTGACCACAAAAAACAAAAACAACCAAACACACAGGAATGAGATGGACGGGAGTCATTCTTACGGCATTAGGACAGACAAGGAATTTGCATGGGATTTGGACGGAACAGGAGTATTTTGTGTGATGGGACAGGAGTAATAAAAAAACTCACTTCTTAACCAAATTTAGCCCGCTGCATTTTTACAGTAACTTAGATGTCTAGACATCTTTTGACCTCCAAGTCACCAAAACAATGCACATACAGAGTTAAACTCTAAGAGAAGTAAGCTTAAATATAGGTTACCATTATTAGAAGAAACCACAGCAGCAGTTACAAGTTCAAAGGTCAGATCCTTACAATATTCCTGGAATCACAGAGCTGTCAGAATTGTTTTGTTTATTTGCAATATATTGATCTTACATTTCTGTCTTAGTTTATGACAGATATCTTAATGCTTTATGTAATGAGATAATGACAGATAGGCACGACCAGCCTTGATCTCTTACACTTTCATCCTTGATTTGACTCTCCGACTGCAGACTGTGTTTGAGAATTTACTGGCCTGAATATGTCACTGTATTTAGGAATTTATGAAGCCCATCTAAATAATCATGCCCATAAATGCATGCAAAATATAGGGTGATATAATGCTTTATGTAGATTAGAAGTAATTCCAATTTAATGACCATTTCTCTATTCTCCATTATGTTAGTCATCTCAATTTACATGATCATAAAGACCCTTTTGTGATAATATCTGATCCTTCAGTGCCATTAGAAACCCTAGGAGGTTTCCCTTATGGTATTTGAAGCACTCCACTGCTGCATCTGACTCTCTCACATTAGATTACAGTGATTGGCAGTTGCACACTTTGAGCATTCATGGGCCCAGTTTCTCACTTTAGACATGAACTCGGTCTCTGGCCGCAAAATTCTTGCTGGTTCCCACTTTGTTTACCAAACAGCATGAGTCTGGCTCTGATTAAGTGGTTGTTCAGTCTCACAAGGCTGCTTTAAGATGTGTTCTCCCAGAGCAGCAGCTATACTGTAGCTCTAGGTCTCATTTTGATTCTGCAAAATCATTAATCACACGACAGACACACCAAGCCCTCTGTAAACCTTTCTATCTCCCTCAGCTTCCTTTTCAATCTTCTGGTTTCTTTCTGTCTGGCAATCAGCCAACCTGCTTGCAGGCACAGACAGACAAACACACACATGCACATATATGTATATATATACAATATACAACATGAAAGACAAAATGATGCTTTAAAGTGCTAAGGGACTAAAAATTCTCCTGCCTCCGTTTCCTGTAGAGTATTCACTTCCAGTTTTTGACAGGGGGTGTTATTGAACATGGAAGTGGAGGATGAAAGTGATGGAGTACTTTGAAGCCAAGGGGTGTCACTTTTCCACTTTTATTGAAGTCTAGTCATTTCTTATATAGTGATGCACTGATCTAACTTTTCCTCTCCAAATACCAATTCCAGAGGCTGTCCTCCCAAGAAGAACAGAAGCTTCAGTCGTTTATATAGAGCCACAAAGCCCACAGAAGAAGATGTCTGTGAGACTGTGACATGTGCGATCAATGTTCTCTTCACATTTTTCCTACCAAAAGTCAATGTTGGTTTCTTTTAATCATGACCATGAGCCATATCTAACTAAATCTGAACCCAACCATACTCTTTCCTAACCCTAACCAAGTCATTTTTGTTCCTAAAGCTAAACAAACCTCAACCATAATGGTATCAGGTCAGAAAATGGGTTTTATTTTTGCAATGGCGATTTGTAACTATTGAGAGGGCACAAACAAATGACGTCATCCTGCAGGTATAGGGCCATCAAATATTTACCTGTGTCATTCTGGAGGGGAGTTATAAACAATGTATTTGTCATTTAATTTGGAAGACTTTTTACGATTCCGATGCCTGGACCAACAACTGTGTACTCATCCGATACTATTGTTCTATTGTTGTTGTTCTTGTTTCCTAATTTAAATGTATACTTCCTGGCAAGAAACTCATTAGAATAATTTCTGTGTAAGGTCAGGGGTTGCTGTGGCACTAATAATTGAGTCTGCGGCTCACACTGACTGTATTTAACATGGGTCATTCACATCTGGCCGAAACCAGATTGCTGTAAGGTTGGTCGCGGTTGATTCCGATGTGCCGTATATCACATCTGCGCATCCTTCCTATCTAGAATAATCAATTCTTTGATCAAATCCCACCTAAACATTATGTTTCAGAGAGTTCAAAAGGGTATATTCTGTTGTATTTACTATAATGACATCTTTGTTTCCTGATGCACTTGCAGCTATTCAAAGGATAAAAGGCCTAAATCAGTCATACACGTGACTCCCTCTGGTATATTTAAATCTATATGGGAAGTCTAAAAAAAACCCAACATGACAACCAAAATCCATCATTATGATTCCATTCTTCTACATGCATTTTTTTGGGGGGTTCTTCTTTAGAGATTGCGTCTCTCTGTGATTGGACGTCAGTGTGCCAGATGTGACATCAATATAGCCCAACCCAACTGAAATACTCCCCACTGCGCTGGATTGCATATGAAATACATGTTATAGCCAGATTTCACCTCCAGGCTGTGTGTTTGTGTGTTTGTGTGTTTTACACTCAGGGGAGATTGCCACATCTGTGAGTTTGTCCACAGTTGCCGCTGGGTCAGATGCTTCGCCTCTCTGTCATCACAGCCTCCCTTCTCCCTTCTGCTTCTTCTTCTTCTCCTAATTCTGTCCTTCATTTCCCCCTTGCTACCTCTTTTTACAATTTGTTTTTGGCTTTGGTCCTTGTTATACCCCAGTTTGCCATTATTTCCTGCCTTAAGCATTCCATCTTGCCCCTCCTTTCCCTGCCTCGCTTCCTATTTCATCTCCCAGTTCATTCTTCTCATCTGTCTTCTGTGTGTCACCCCTCTCTGTTTCCCCTCTTAAACTACAAGTAGTACTCCTCCATCCTTTTCCCTCCTTTCATTTCCCCTGTCCCCCCTCTTTCCTCCCTTCACTCAGTCCCATCACTGACCCAATTAAACATGGGGAGGGACACAGCAGGAGGAGAGTGACGGAGATAAGGCGAGAAAGAGAGGGAGAGGGAAAGAAGGCAGAGAGTATAGAGAGAGTTTGAGAATCAGTAGCTGGAAAAGCAGAGAGAGTCAGAAACAATTCCTGCCAACCTGCCAGGGCACACATGAATTGTCCGAACTTCACCTGTAACTTAAACAACCTTTGACAGCCTTGGAGGCGGCGGGGGTGGAGCAGCAAGTCGACAGTCCTGCTGCCACGCACTTACCGTTCTCGATGAAGAAACGAGGAGAATAACAATCTACCTTCAGTGAAGAAAGCGGGCGGGGAGCCGTGCAGAGTTGGGATGGCCAAATACCGGAATATAGAGGGAGACTGAGAGGAGAGGCTGAAGAGACGAAGACGGTGCATTCCTGGTTGGAGCTGAGGAGGGGAACGTGGTTGCCCCGGGGCAAGAGAAAGATTTTTGTTGGCAGAAACAGAGGGAGAGCGGAAGGGGGAAAGGATGCATCTGTTCTTCCAAGACAAGTGGGAGGTGGAGGGGCTGCAGACTGTGGGCATCCTCCTGGTGGTCTGCAGCTCCCTCAAACTGATGCACTTTCTGGGGCTTATCGACCTTTCCACGGCAGGTAAGACAAATGGTAAGAGAGCAAGAGAGAGACGCCGAGTGAGACATCAAAATGATGAATATGGTGAGGGGACAATATGAGGAGCTGAAAAGGGGGGTGTCTACGTGTGTTTGCGTGTGTTTCGGAAGTGTTTATTGGGGTTAAACATAACAAAGTAGTTTGGCCTAATTTCTTCACTAAAGAGCTGTCATGTTTGTCACACCTATTTATGGTCCTCTGTAGCGTGTGTGTGCTTGTGTGTGTGTGTGCGCTTGTGTGTGTGTCTACTCATACCTTTCTAAATTTACATATAAATGCAGAACGGATCATTTTGCTGTGTTTATGACACAAAGAAGATTTAAAACTTCTAAACAAACACATTTGAATGTGCAAAACATGTTAATGTAGGCCCATCCATACTGTGAAAAAGACATCTCTGAAATTCATCATTCAATACTTAACTTCTTACATCTAAGGGATTCTGTCTATAAACAATTTTATCAATGGTGGACTGTCATTCTTACTGTGTTTCATTGTTTTTACCTAAAGGGGCACTCTGCCTATTTTAGGTTCCTTGGTTTCCTCGTCATTAACAGTTGTACAGTATAATGCCCTCTGTGTCTCTGGAGGGAGCTTTCCAAAGTCTGAAATGATAACCCTAGTGATGCCATCAGGGTTACATATAGTAAAGAGGAAATGGAGAGGGAGAAAAAGAGGGTATGTCATGCAACAAAAGTACTGACTGGAATCAGTTAGGGGCTAAAAGGATCTCTGCTGCACTGATTATGAACATTATTTTCTCTTTTGCTCCTTGTGAGTCCCCCAACTTTAGGGGAGTGCAATACCATAAAGCTGGAGTGTAGTTAAGAGTGAGGATAGGCAGGAGAAGTGGGAGGAGATGACTGATATTACAGCAAGCCCCAGGCCTCACTTGCAAACACAGGCAACTGAATAGCAAGATGCCTATAAATTCTAAGTTTATGCTAATATTTGTGAAATATTTGTAATCTTAGCCGAAAGGTTCAATGTTCAATTGTTTGCACAGCCAAACTGTATCTACATCAGCGTACTGTATCACTGTGCCTCTAAACTGTAATATGTTTTCTGCCTTCACTTCGGTTGAGGGATTACTTGGTTTCTTTCTGCCTTGAGAAAATCCTCAGATCTCTTGGGTTTATGAAATACGACGCTCCTTCAAAATTTCCTGGATATTGCCAAAACTGTGTTGCCATCAAGCTAAAAATAGCTGTTTTTCTTATTTCCTGAGGAGTTGTGATGGTCTGTCAGTGTACCCTGGGGGAAACTATTGAACTCTAATTGCACAATCACTACAGGGCGCACTGGGTAAGAGTGTTATAATGCTGCACAACAGCTGAAGAATGCAAAAAGTTGCTTTTCTCCCCTTGTCTGATGAGAAATAGACAGTTTGTACATTTTCGCCTACTCAGGATAAAATTATAGAATTTCTGGTCTCATTGTCAGTGCCAGTCAAAAAAACAATTTTCACTTCAAAGGCTTGAGAACAAATTGATCACATGTTACTTCAATAGCGTAGTGAGTGCAGTAACCTACTTGTTTTCAACAAAAGAATGTTTCCAACCACAGCATTTTGTTAATATTAGATACAACTTCCATATCAAGTGCTGTGTCTTACTAAGTTGATAGTATGCTTAAAAACAGCTGTGATGGATGGATAGATAGATAGATGGATAGATGGATAGACACTGCATAATATACATGATTACAGTCTGGGTCTAAGTATAATAATATGTAGTTTTCTCTATCAAATAAAGGGGACCTTAAAGAGACGTGCTTGTGTGCATGTGTGCATTAAAATCAGGTTAATCCCTCTGAGATCAAATATCTCTATTCCAAGACAGACTTGGCAAAGACAGCCAGAGCACATTTACTCAAAGACATCACAACAAGCAAGAAATTTCATCACCAGCAAAGGAAAAAAATACAGAGAAAGAAAGAGAGGAGATAGAGAGAGGGCGATGAGATGGGGAAGGAAGGAGAAAGTGTCTCATATCTAAGCATTGACAGTTTCCAGTAGATTCAGCTTTCATTGTTCTCACAAGTATTTCAAGCTCAGTGTTCCATGCAGAGAAGAGGAAGTAGAAATTGTGACTTTTGTTGTTGTTGTTGTTGTTGCCTTTTCCTTTTTTTTTTTTTGTTATATCCATCCAGGCCTTCTGAAAAACAATCAGCAGAAATTAAATTTAGTCTGCTCAGAAACAAGCTGCATCTGTAACACAATGACCACCAGAGCTGTGAAGATTACTTTAAAAACATATTTGACAGCAGTTACTTTGAGAGACCTCATCAAAACTGTAATCTTTAATGCTATGCAAGATACTTTCTAGACTTTACATATACCCATGAGATATACCTTAAAACTAGGGTAGGTAACGTTGGAGAAACTAGTAAGAGACGGTTAGCTTTTGAAAGAATCCAACTGAAAACATCCCACTCAGTTCCTTTCGGTCTTCCCCCAAAGCCAAGCCAAGTATTCTGAAAAACATTACCTACCCTAACTATAAGCAATGATAAGTACATGAGTATGTTTATCTTAAGTATTGCGTGAAGGTACTGTTTTGAGCTACTTTGGCTTTACTAGTGTTTGCTATATCATACTTCATCACTGTATCTTGAATTGAAAATTGACACTACATTTAACAAACAGCAGTAGTAACATTGACTATTTACAAAACATATATTGAAATGATAAAATATGACACATTGCTATACAGTAAATTAAACTAACAATAGTATGTAAATAAGTTACAATTACTTGACAAAGCAATCTCTCCTCACAATCCATTCAGTAGCTGTTCTGGAGCTTTAGATCTTATCACATGATCCTCCTCAGCAGATGGAGTTACCCAGCTGTCATGAAATTGTTTACTCTCCTTGTCTTGACGTTGGAAACAGTAATTGACAAAACAGTGTCACATCAAGGTCTATCTAGTAGATTAGTCCATTAAGTAACAATTAGCCTCACCTCAACCAGTTACAACATTAAAATGCAGCATCCACCACTGCTCAGAAATGCACTGTGATTACTTTGCTATCAGACATACTTAAGGACTAACTGTTTTTTAAGGCAAAGACCAGGAATGGTGAACAATGAAAGGAAATGTATTTCAGGTGTGTCTACAAATTCTACCCACTACAGTTAGTCTCCTGCGTTCTACTTCAGAAGCGCTCTGATTAATCTTTGTACCTTTGACTGTTGTGGTAAAAGTATTGTTGGGTCCACATGGAAAAAGATAATGTACTTAACCACAGAGATAGAGAGACCCTGGGGCAGAGGGCTGGGCCTGCGCTTGACGGTTAGATGTATTAATCTGGTATCCATTGGACAATGTGCTCTGCCTGCTCTGGCTCCAAATGACGCCAGAGCCACGGGTCAGGGGGTGCCAGAGTCCCTAAGGCTCCATGGAGCAGGGAGACAACAGGGTGACACATCACAGACACTAGAGAGTCATTGGAGCTGTTGTGGTTCTATTGTTTTTCACCCCATCATGGCCTTCATCCCTCAGACCGCTGGGGTCCTACTGAAAGGGGTGAAGGAACTGTTACCATGGAAACTAAGAGGCAAGAGTAAGTATGTGGGTTCATGTGTGCGAATGTGTTTTACTTCCTATACGACTATCATTATCATTCTGTTAAACACGACAAAACAGGCGAGTGTGTTTGCTTTCAGATGAACCGACACTGCGGTGGTAGACACGATGGGCTCTGGTTGAAACGGTTTTGCTATGCATTTGTCTGGCAAATTATATTCTGCCGTGAAAGTGAAATTAAGCTCTTGTTTAAGCTGATTGTGAATTAAAACGGTTGATGTTTGACTTGTGCTTTGAATCTATACTCTCTGCTGGTTTTTCATACAGTTTGCTGAATTTAGCATTGTGATATGAGAGCCAGTCTGATGAGGGCAACTCTGTGTTTCTAGGGGTCACGCTGTGTTGCTGTAGTGTGGCAATATCTACTGTTTGTGGTACTCGTGGTCTCCCATCACTAAGCCAGGTCAGCAGGCAATTAGCAATTTGACTAACGGCATGTCTGTTGTTGCATCTGTCCGTTGCATGGAGCCTGTTTTTGGTTTTACAGGAATTTGTGCATGTGTGTGTGTGTGTGTGTGTGTGTGTGTGTGTGTGTGTGTGTGTGTGTGCGTGTGAAAACAGAATTAAATTTGCAGACTTGTGTGTGTGTGCGTATCTAACCTTTTGTGCTATGGTTGGTGATTGCAGGTAATCCTTCCAACAGCCAAAGTAAAAAAACCATAAAGCAGCGATTCCTCAAGCTGTTGCCATGCTGCAAGCCCTCGGCTGCCCCCTCAATCAGTCAAAGCAAGTGCTACCTTACTCTCTATACATCTCTACCTCCTTCCATGTGTCCGGCCTCTTTAGTGAACTGAGAAGATTCATACAGACACTTGTGCGGATGCAGTCATGTACACACAACCACAGAGACAATCAGTGTACACATAAACCTACATACAGTTACACAGAAATTCACTCAACTCTAAAACACTCTGGTATTGTTGCTGCTAATGGGTCAAACCTCGCATTTTGTGATTTGAAGCAAGTTATTTTCTCGTGGGCAATGTAAAGTGTGTGTGTGTGTGTGTGTGTGTGTGTGTGTGTGTGTGTGTGTGTGTGTGTGTGTGTGTGTGTGTGTGGGGTGGGGGACTTTACTCAGTTAAAGCACCAGGCAGATAGAGATTAAGTTAGATAAAAGCTAGTAGGTTCTAGAGGTCTAAGAACTTATAATAAATGACATATGCTATGAGTTATTTGTGGAGAAACAGATGGAATGAGAATGAGGTGAGGAATATCTGTTAGTGGCTGCGTCTCATACCTTTTTGCCTCTCTTCTACCCTCTTTATTCATGTTGTTCAATATCTTCTCCTGCTTCTTCAGTATATGGGTCTCCCCAGCTTCTTTACTGTACTTGACCTTGAGTTTACAGACAAGAAATTCAATCATTTTATAGAATTATTACTGACTATGTTTTGCTTTGTGATATGAATTACTGTAGCTTATGCTGGAACAAAGATGTTAGAAATTGCTTGACATAGTAACCTCACAATTATGTATAGAAAATTGCATTCACATTCATGTTTTGATTGAGTGAAATAATAAAATAATGATCAACACTGTTGTAAATAAAGAGTATTATTTTGCTCTGAAGTGTAAGACTTATGTATGATGAGCTCAATATCAGTTTGATGACTTCATTACATTATGTTGGCCAGACCATGGCTGGCCTGGAAGTTGGTGTTGGTGTAGTGACAATAAATACTGATCAACACTGGTCTCTCCCTCACACAGACAGCGTGGAAGATGACTTTGAGCTATCCACTGTGTGTCATCGCCCTGAAAGCATGGACAAGCTGCAGGAGCAGACTAAGTTCACCAAGAAGGAGCTGCAAGTCCTCTACAGGGGCTTCAAAAATGTAGGTCTGGCTGAAGAAGAGAGTGAGAAGGCAGGGGGGAATCAGCAAATAAACTAAAAAATCTGGTTCTGGCTACATCATTTTAGGAGTTAAGAGCAGTATCAGTCTGGCGAGAGCTGAAGTTACCACATAGTTCTTTATATATTCTGTGTTAGATGGGAACTAATGAGCTTTCTCAATTTACATTTGTATCCCAGGAGTGTCCAAGTGGTGTGGTGAATGAGGAGAACTTTAAGACCATTTACTCCCAGTTCTTTCCGCAGGGAGGTGAGTTGTCAGCTCCCACCTCTAAACCTGAAGAGCTCCAACTGTGTCCATAATACTTTAATTTACACTATTCTTTCTATCTGCATTCAATTGATAAATTGCAGATAAAAGTGTAAATAAACTAATTTATTTGATTCTGTAGAGGTACAAATGGAGTGTTTTAATCATCACAAAGAAATTTACTTAATTAACTCATTATAAATCTGCTCCGCTGAACTATAGTTCATGCACTGCAAAGAGGCGAGGTAATCTTTCATTTCATGATATTTAGGTTGATGAAATGTTAACCACCCGCCTCCAGTTGTATTTGAAATTATTCTTATATCTTGGCTATATTTAGCTTGCTGCTAATCCTAGCTGTTCAAAGACTTCGTTTCACGTGTTGAGGGCACAGGAGTTACTGTAAGTCTCTACCTTTGCAGATTCGAGTATGTATGCACACTTCCTGTTTGAAGCTTTCGACACTAACAAGAACGGCTCAGTTAGTTTTGAGGTGAGCTCTATTCTTATATCGGTTTCCTTTTAGAGTTAAAAGCAAATAATTGCCCCAGTGAAACTTGCCACCCTGGCTGTAGCCACATAAATTCTCTCTAAATACCTGCCCACAGAGATTAGTCCTGTGATAAAGATTTGACTTCATTTACCGTGTCAAGATTTAAGTAATGCCAAAACAATACAGTAAACTGTTCCCCTTCTATCTCAGGACTTTGTATTTGGCCTATCTATCATCCTGAGAGGGACCATTAATGACCGGTTAAACTGGGCGTTTAACCTCTATGACTTGAACAAGGACGGCTGCATCACCAAAGAGGTAATACATGCACACGTTAGCCTGTTCTTTGGGTGGTTTAAATGACTTGCTGTCATGGCCCCTAAGCAGAGCTATAGCTATACTAATGGGGACTACAAGGTCATGTCCTCTGTATTTTGGGGGATGTGGTTATATGTACATTTCAATTTTAGTGGAAATCAGGCGTGGACATTGTCTGCCAGGATATTGATCACTGACTGCATCAACTTTTATTTTTAAATTTAGAACTTGACTCTAGTATGTCAGACCATGTGGTGTATCTGGCCGCATTTAACCATAATAAAGCCAAATTCTTTTCAGGTGTGACTGAAAGAAAATTGTCACAATATAATAATTAATATAATATTTTAAAATTAAGTGTATAATGAAAATGACTCTAGTTGGTCGTTTTTTAATCAAACAAGGCAATAAACTATAACAACTACTTAATATACAAAAAAATATTGTTTGCTTGTTCGCTGTACTTTTGGAAACCTGGTCATAGTCCAGCTTTGAAGTGATTTTTTTTTTTTTTATGTTGTCCAACAATTTCAATAATATTTCTCCCTTTTGTACTTTACTTTCCAGGAGATGTTGGACATCATGAAGTCGATCTATGACATGATGGGGAAGTACACATACCCCACTATGCAGGACGATGCTCCAAGAGAACATGTGGAGAGCTTCTTCCAGGTCAAACAGCCTTTACCTTCTGTTAATCCCTCATTCTATGATTGTTTGACCACATAAATATTACTGATAGAGATATATTAAAAGAAGATAATGCTACATTTTTGAACATACAATAGTTATTCAGTGAGTAAATCTTTGGCTGCCTTTTTCCTTTCTTTTTTCAGAAAATGGACCGGAATAAAGACGGGGTGGTCACCATAGAGGAGTTCATCGAGTCATGCAAAAAGGTACAGAAGAAAAGTGGATTTTAAAGTCTTAAAAGAAGCATGTGACTCCTCATAAAGCCTTACCTTGTCGTTTTGCAGGGTCTGTTTATGTACGGATTAAACAAATTAGATATAATATCTAATTAATTAATAATTAATGAGCTTTAGAGGTGCTGGTAGCTGTATGTTTTAACTTTGGACAAAGCCAAGAGAGCTGATCCTTGATGCTAAGCTAAGCTTATTGTCTCCTGGTTCTAGCTAAAATCTTCTCATGTAATTCCTGACAAATTACAGGACAATTCTTTTCATTTAATTCCTCACTTTCCCTTGTGTGAATCATTTGGGTAACAAAGAAGGAGAAATGACATTCCCTCCTTATCCAAACCTCTTGTCTCTGTCTAGGATGAGAACATCATGCAGTCCATGCAGCTGTTTGACAACGTTATCTAAGAATCTGGACCAGAAAGTATGCTGGCACCAGGGAGGGGAGTGTGTGTGTGTAAGAGGAATTGGGATTGAAAAGAGAGACAGAGTTTGTGAATGTGTGTGTGCGTGTGGCCGTCTTCTGACTTGCAAGCTTGTGCTTGTGTGTCTGTTGAGAGCTGTGATTCCCGAGGGCACTGAGAGGCCCTCTCCCTCGTCCTGGACACCCAGTGACATTTCTCCACGCAACAGTGGAGTTGCCCCAACTCCCTTCCTCATCATGCAGAACCTTAGTTATACCCCAGAGACACAGAGAAAGAAGGCAAGCAGCGGTCTCACAGGCACTGGCACACACAACCACTTTTTTTATTTGAACTTTATTTATTACTATTACTTATGGAGGAACTATGTCAGCCTGTAATGGCTCAACTCAGAGGGACGAAGCTGTCCCCAAACCTTTGTTCCAAGATCACTTTTTCCCTTTTCCCTGTGATGGCTGAGATTTGGATTTGTGAATCTGATCCTGCCTTTGTGCATGTGGGTAACACCTCCCTGAAGCCGATAGACTGCTCATGCCCCGGTCATAAAAATAGAAATGAGTCTACCACCATCTAGTGGACGAGAGAGAGAAAGACACTTCCTGAGGAAACAACTGACGAATTGGAGATCCAAGTCATCACGTTTTATGGAGGTTCAAACGTGTTGTTTTCCATGAGGAGCTGATTTCAATATCGCATGATGATGTCACTAATATCCAATTATGTATTTACAGAGATACTCCAAAGTCTGCTTGTCTGTCTGCTGTTCCTAGTCATTCACAGGTGCCTCACCCTTTGTGTATGTGTGTGCATGTGTAACAGAAAGAGATGTCATCCATCTTACCTATGTAAGACTGTAATGGGACAACACCCACCTCCATTTATGGGATTCTGGTAGAATAATTCCCGGCCTTCCAAACTATCACAGTCCTAGTCGTAGGTGTCTAATGACTGTTGTACATTTTCTAGCATTCCCAGTGGTGTGATACTAGGCGGTACAACGTGGTGATGGCACTATAATTGACAAGCTGTTTTGACCATCCCAGCTTCCCTCAACACAGGACTGGCATACCACAGTCGTACTAGTCTATCAGTACACATCCAAGGGGAATTTATTAGATTGCAGATTGTATTTGTGAACTTCTTGTAATCTGAATTGTCATGTGGTTGTAGCAGGTTCTACCACTTTAAAAAAAAGATATCAAAACCCTTGTTACATTCAATTAGGCTCATTCAATTTCAAAGAGGCATAGTATGTGTGTGTACTGTTAGTGAGAGAGACATGGTTTAATAACAGTTTCTTTTATGATCCCTCCCCCAGACCCAACCCAGCTCATCCCAGCCCCATTCTAGCCCACCCCAGCCCCATTCCATATTCTCCCTCTCTCTGTAACACCAAAGAGAAGATATAAATTAGAGGTTTATAAAGCCACCCTAAGTTAAGACAAAAAGCCCACCCGTGGGTGAAGAGAGAGGGAGATGCTGTGTAGTAATAAAGGCAAGGGGCAATCAGAGGTAAAATGGCAATGTGGTTCACCTGCACACTGTCAGGACCAAAGTGTAGCTAACCCACATGTTAGGCTCTGATGAATCAATTATTTTTAGGAGGATTTACAACCACTTATTAAATTGCTTCTTTTCAAAGTGAACCTACTCTTAAATATAAGATGGTGTACGTAGAAAAAGCCCTCAAGCTGCAATTAAATAGGCTGTGGTGTCTTTTAAATGCAGAGAGACTAACATGGAATAGCAATAATGTTCTCAACCACTTATCAGCACCTTTCCACTTATCCAACCCCTCATTCATTTCAGAGCTCAGTATAAGGGTGCACTAAGACCCTGATGAAAATATGCACTTACCCACCCTGCAATTTGTTTTTGTTTTTTTCTATTCTGCAATTTTTTTATTTTCTGTGGGAAAAAAGTGGTTTGGCTCTGATTGTTCCTTGCCAACAGTCTGTTACTTCCATTCCTGACCACAAGTAAAACCTGTCTATACCCGCATGTACTGTGTCTAGAACAATGAAAACCTACTAACCCGTTGTACTGACTGTCTAGTTAGCTAGCCTCAACTGGTTGCATTACGTATTCAAAATGTATATTTTGTACAGAGACAATAAAAATCACGGTTACTATGCAAAATGGACTTGAGTTTGAATTTTACATTTTCTTTATTAAAATAAGACAGTGCTTTGTTTTACATTTCTATAAATTCAGCACAAAGCAACAATCAAGAATCCACATTTTTCTACCTTATAATTAATCACAAAGTCAGCAAGAAATTGATAATAACTTAAATATACATAATTATACATATAATCCCAACAGCCACATCTGATTCAACTAGCAGGCAGTGTATGGATAGTCATAAGGCTACAGGTCAGCAATCACCTGTGCTAGCAAGCAAATTTTGAACATCAACAAAAACAGTAATGCAGTCTCATGTCTTAATTTAATGTATTCCTGCAGAATTCTGGCTGCAAACCAAATATGTGTACTCTTCACTGGAAATCCTGTTGCTGTGACATTAAAGCTGGATAGAAACTTCAAATTTGCTTGTTTTTGCTTTTGCATGTCTTCATTAAATTCTTTCCAAAACAAAACACCTCACGCTATGTTGTCACCTTCTTATGACAACATTCATCCACTCTTAACACTGCACCCTGCTATAATGCGATTATTCAGTATCACCACATGAAGATTACTTAGCAGCACCACAGGACTGATGCTTCAGCATATGCATAAAAGTCCAGTGTTAAATCAACAACATTTCTCATTTTTTAACGCCTCAATTTTTTCACTCTTCTTCTCTGAAGACCTTGTTCACAATGACACTGCTGACTCTTAGAGGCATGAGGTGTGGCTAGTAGGGATTAGATTTGTCCATAAAAGTAGCAGGCATTTACTTGGGCATCTTGCGGAGCTCTGCCAGAACCCAAATGGCCAGTGACAGAAGAGCGACAGAGCCAGACTGGTGAGTTGCTGCCAGTTGAGTGGGGACATACAGTAACAGGGTGCTGATACCGAGGGCGACCTGCAGAGCACAAATACAGAATTTAATTACATCGAAGAGTAATAGACTGGGTCTACACGTTTCTGGGCTGACTGAAAGCCTACCTGTCCATAGGCCATTGCTGCGAGGAGGCTGATTGCAATCTTAGCCCTCCTGGGCAGCACCATCCTCCTTGAGAACAGATACAGGCCTGTAATCGCAGTCAAAGAGGAAATCGCCTGGAAAAAGAGAATTACAGAAGACCATCAACCTACTCACCTGCTGCTGGGGTTCAAATAATCTTTTACTTCAATTAAAATGTTGAAATGTTGCCCACAAGGTTAATTCTGTTTAGAAATAATAACATACCAAAATCCTATGGTCGAACTGCACAGTCGTGGGATTTTCAAAGAAGTTCTTAAGGGTAGGCGAGAATGCCAACAGGTCATCAGGGATCCATCGTTCTCCCATCTTAGGGAAGGAGTTATACACCAGCCCAGCATCCAAACCAGCAACAAAAGCACCTGTGTAAAAGCATATGTATAGATCACATTCTTATTCACCTCATCTTAACAGTCTGCAACATTAGATTTCACACATTAAATTTAAATGTCCACGTATTTACCTCAATTTGGCGTGTTTTTTTAAAAATATCCCCCTCGACTTTTTAAATATGCTCTACAGTAAACTGTACTGTATTACCTTAGCTTAAAATATGAAAACTGTAGCCAAGAATCTATTTGAATCCCCAAAGAGGCTTTAAACTAAAAGCACTCGTATCACATTCACATAAGATCAAACATTACCTGAAAGAGCAGTGAGGAAGACGAGTCCACCGGTACCCTTGGCATACCTCCTAAGTTGCAGGAGACGTTTGGTTTCTGTCAGCTGTGAAAGAGGTGCGACCGTAAATAAAATAACCCAAAAACACAACAAACAAACTGTGTGACATTTTCCCACACAGACCAGGGATAAAGCTGTATTAATTCTGATGTAGATAGAAACAATAATGGATGTGGAGACTGTACCTTGTATGCAGGCAGCAGCAGAGTAAGCCCCGTCCAGAGACTGGCGCAGTAGAGCAACAAGGCAGAACCAAGGTGAGCACTCAGACGATACTGGCTGACCCGCGGGATGTCGTGAGACTCTGGCTTCTCCTCCAGACCGCTCTTTACCATGTACCACCCCAGAAGGCCCTGGAAGGACACACACAATGATACAGTCATCCATGTGTTTTTTACGTTCATTTGACATCCATACAACTTCACTACAAACTTGATAAAAATAATAATGACAAATTAAACAAGGATTAACTTCTATGGTCCTCTCCCATCACCACAGCCTTCTTGAGTTTTACCTGGAAGAAGACAAATCCGCAAAGCCCCAGCACTTTTCCCTTCATGGAGCGATTAAAGTATCCTTTCCTCCAGAAGTAAACGGTGGGGAGGATGTACGCAAGTCCAACCAGCCTACCCCACATACGATGGCCCCACTCCATGTAGAAGATAAACTTAAACTCTGGTAGAGTCATGTCATGGTTCATTCTGGGAAAACAATGGATAATTCATCTTTAAATTAAAGACCCAACCCACAGTTTCGTGTACTACATAACACTGAGGTATATTCAATTACATAACTGTGAAAGCTGTGTTTTCGAATGGTAAAACTGTGCGGTTTGTATTCAGTCTTAGAACCACTGCTGATGTGAGAAAAAAACATTGAAAACATTGCAGACTTTCTGACTTTGACTGGGCTGCACGATATGGTGAAAAAAATATGAATACTGCGAGTATTTTGACAGATATTGTGATTGGAATATGATCCACAATTAGTGAGAATGATCATTTTTGCATCACAATTTTCATTATCACATAAAACGATTAAAATCATGTCGAGTTGTTGTGATCTGACCAAACAATACATACATCTGGAGAACAAGATTTATGAATTAAAAGACGTATCAAGAGGGTTTTCAAACTTCCAAACTTGGGGGGCCTTTAAAACTGTGCAAATGTGTGTCTTTATGAGGTAAACAGTAAATATGTTGCCTTACATTTTAAATTCAGGAAACTGCTGGTACTTGGAAAACTCAGCCTCCCACTCTGCTTGTGACTGAGGTGGCTTCATCTCTCTCACCAGATGCCAGTCAACCATGGAAAGCCCAGATTCTGTGAGCCTGATTGAAACAAATTCACTTATACAGTAAGTGCCAATACAAGAAGGACTATTATATTCACAGACATATAGCTTTAAAGTCACCTTTACCTTGTGACACCCCCCAAGACAATAGCCCCGACCACAAGTCCGCTACAGCCGAGTAACCAGCGGCCTACTATGCGATTTGTGGCTGCGTTGGGGACAGTAGCTGCTGCCCGTGCAGAGGAGGCCACCGCCTCTACTGTGATGGTGCTCTGACCTCTCTTCACAAGCCATTGTCGTAGCTGTGGACTCCGCTGAAGTTGTAAATAAAGGAGAGAGAGAGAGGGGACTTGAAATGACAACGTAACTTTTAAATCTAACTCTGATAACCTCACTATCACACATTTATGTTAAACTATGCTTGAAGTGTGCCTTTAACGTTGTGACAACAGGACCCTTTTCTGTGTCCCCCGTACACAGAGCCAGAGCCTTATATCCATGATATTAGAGGGAGACAGCAATCACTATTGGAGTGATATGAGGATGTCCCGAATATCACATGTATGCTCATGTTACACATGATACTTCCTTTACCTTGATGAGCATTAAGATTGCAGGTTTACTGGTTGGTAGGTTCAATGTCTATGATTTTGGAGGGGGGAATGTAGTTATTGGAAACTACAATATGAGTAACGTCACAGGTAGGTAATTAAGAAATGCATTATATCGGTTCTTTTATACATTTGGTTTCCAGCTCTAACGACAGGAAACGAAGCATCGGGATGATGGGAGGTGGTTGAGGCTGCTGATGAATGCGGACGTGAGTACAACCAGCCAGGTGCCGTTAACTGCCCTGAATAAATTCAATAAACTGTAATAAAAAAAACAAAAACAACAACAACAACAACAACAACAACACAACAAAGTGAAACGAAAGGAAATGAATCGTCTAACATATCGTGCAGTGTGTGACCTTTTAGCTAATGTTAGCAGCTGGCTACATACTCACACCACTGTGTTGAAAACCTTTGCCAGAATTTCTGCAACCGTAAAAAATCGCCGTCCGCGCTGAAGAGAGTAACATGTTTGTGTCCTGATGTCCGCTAGCGCCGAGCCGGAGCCTGAGCAGTGCTGTTGTGAAAGACTGAGGTAAAAAAAAAAAAGACAAGCTGTAGCCGGGCTGTTACACAACCATGTTTCCTAACTGATGGCTCAACTTTGACCTCCCGACGTCACAACAAACCGACAAACGCAAATCAAGATTTATTTTTATTTATTTTTTGTTGGTAGAGACGAGAAACAAGATGCCCAACACACAGAACAAATTGTAAAAAATATATATTATTTTTTTGAAATTGCTATAAAGAGACGGAACGTCCAGGTGGTTGGTGTATGTTTTGTGTCTGAGCGTATCCCGTATGGGCGGTCACCCGTCTCCCTTTGGCTCGATAGTGCTGCGTAACCAGTGTAGCACCGTCCACCCGCCAAACCGCGCGTTTGAAATTCAACTATCCGGAAAAAAAAAACCACTGATCCACAATCTGTCTGTTGGAGCTGTAGCAGTCAGTCAGACACCATGTACTGACTTTATATCGATTCCAGTCGGCTGATAGGGTCCCATGAATCGATAGGAAGTGGATTTGACAGGTAGTAGTTGTAATTGTTGGTGAAATTAATTGTGGACGTGTTGACTAACAAATTCACATTGAATCTCGTTCTGTCTCTGCCTGTCTTGTCTTTCTGTCACTGCTAGACTGTCAGTATGGCAGAGGGCTTTTTGATGGAGGTGTGTGTGGACTCCGTGGAGTCTGCTGTTAATGCTGAACGAGGAGGTTGGTAATGTGAACACCTGTGGGGGTTTTTGGGGGGGGGGGGGTTTGCTATTAAACCCACTCTGAACTACCTGCTAAAGAGGTGATAAGAGGCAGTTCAGCTTCAAAATAAGGGGACAAAGGTTGCAGCCAATCAGATACAATTAAAGCGCTGTCTCAGGCAGAGTATTAAATGGACCTGCAGTGTTATTTCATTTCTCAAAGGTCATTCACCATGAATGTGTAGTCTGAGTGTTCGTCTCCCCTGACAGGTGCAGGTCGACTTGAACTGTGTTCTAGTCTTCTGGAGGGAGGGCTCACACCCAGTCTAGGTGAGCACAGTTCAGTTCTGTACAGATATTCATGCGTAGAGTATCTGCTGAGATCAGACAAGCACATAGAGTAACAGGTGTCCTACTATTATTTGCTTTGCCACAGGTCTGCTGCAGGTAGTGAAGCAGTATGTCAAAATCCCAATCTACGCGATGATACGGCCTCGTGGGGGCGACTTTCTGTATTCAGACCAGGAAGTGGAGGTGATGAGGAAGGACATAGAGCTGATGAAGAGCCACGGGGCCGATGGACTAGTGCTGGGAGCCCTTACAGAGGACGGACGAGTGGACGCAGAGCTCTGTATGGAGTTACTGGGTAATGTCTGCCTGTATATATGATCTTATCTGTATGGGCTTGAGAAGCAACCGTTCATGATGTACAGTTCCACAAAATCATAAAGAAAACATTTCAAAAGATCCAGTTTTTATAACAGAAATGAGATTACAGGGTACTCTGTACTCTGTCTGAGCTGCCAAAACAGAAACTCCTCACTAGAGCCCAACCGATATGAATCAGTAGGCCAACATTAGCGAGTCACAGACATATCTGTATCCTTGTGGTGTCAGCATATATGTTATCTGATAAGCGCAGATATGAAAACTGTTTATTTCCGGTGTATAAGGCAGAGAAAAATGTTTGTGCTGTCACTGCAAAGTTTATCCAGCAGAGAGCACTGTGATTTACAATACTGTGGCAAGCAGTGCAGAGTAAGAGAGAAGAAGCAGCTCTCAGAATTGGTTGACAATGTATATGTAAATTATCTATATTATATATTTATATTCTTTAAGTTACTGTTAAGAAAGCAGCCTTCCGAGTAACTTTGCACAGTCATACAGGGGCAAAGTGGTGCACTTTCCACATACAAAAGGTAAATTTTCATTTCAGCACAAAAATGACCTATATCGGCCACCATATTGGTGAAATAATCAGTGAATTTTTCCCTTCAAGTATCGGTATCATCCTCAAAAATGTTACCTTCACACAACCAAAACAAATCAGGATTCAAATAGTGGAATCCTTTGGGCATTGTACTGTTCATGTAGCAATGATATGCACAATTACGTTTACATCTACATTACACTCCTTTTTGGGAATATATTTTTTTCACTGCAGACATTTTCAGATGTCATAGTAGGAACGCACAAGTGTGATTAATACTGGCTGTGTTTCATTTAAGTGTTCCAGTCCCAGACGTTTAGATTTATACAAATTGTCATACTGGGACACCACAATTGAATTTATGCTTTAATGTTATTAGTAACCTGTGATGAAAACTAAAAATGTTTTCAGCGAAAGGGGTCTGCACCTTTTTTAATCTGCCCACCCTGATTGCCAGGGGAAAGGTACACAAGGACCACTGTCTTCTTTCTAAATCAAGAATCAATCAATATTCTCTATGTAGTATGTGGTTTATTACAGATCCTCCAGGTCAGAAAGAGAACAGGTTGTAGAAATAATCCATAACAAAGATAATTGTGTGCTCAATCTCAAGATTTTTCGACAGCCTTTTCTCTGATAGTTGAGATAGACAGCTCCATAACTTTTCATATATCTGCACAACAAGACATGGCTCCCACCTTTTAATATCCCACCTTAGGCTATATTTAAAGGTTCATACTTCTCTGCAGCATCAAGCGAGATTGTACCTGCTATTGAATTATGAAGGTTGAGAACTGAATTTTATTCATTAGAGCCTAGTACTCCTGCTGACTCAATACCTTTGTACTCGGTGAATCACATATTTCCATTACATATAAAACCAATACATTTCTAAAATCTGATTTAGTTCAAAGCCATAGGTCCAAACTTAATCATATGTTTGCTCCGTTCGCTTTCTGAAGTGTAAAAATGTCTTTTCCCTCTTAACTGTTTTAACTTTTTCTGTTTTAAAATACAAGTTTCAAATATCTGACATTGCTACATTGCATTGATAATCTAACTTAATATAATTATTCAGCTTTCAGTATGCTAAAGTTTATCCCAGGAGTCTTGGTTCACAGTGTTTGTGGTGAGAAATCATATTTATATTAGTCATATTTTCTTGAAATCTGAAAGGTAAAAGTGTAAATACTGTATGCATCCACCATCCATGGCTTTGTGTTGACAGTCACTCATAATACAAAGTATAAAATAAAGTCAGTGTTTCAGTCTTTAAATGAATCTGTGCAGTGTGTGTCCCTGAGTGGATAATAGGCCATCACAAGAGAGGAACAATGTTCAGAATGTACAATTGTTATATAACGCAGCTTTATTTTTTGTTCGATGTCTCGTATTGTTACAATTATTTGTCTCTTTTTTTTTTTTTTCTTTCCCACTAGCTGCTGCGCGACCTTTGCCTGTCACCTTCCACAGAGGTAACATTTTCTTCTTTGAATTACATGTACACTTAAAGGTCCAGTGTGTAACATTTAGGAGGATCCTTTGGCAGACATGGAATATAATATGCAGGTTTCCATAGTTTATGTTCACCTGAAAATAAGAATCGTGTTTTCATTATCTTAGAATGAGTCTTTTATACCTACAGACGCTGCAGTCCGTCAGCAAGGACTGTTCATGTTTTTTTGCACCATATTTTCTCCTTTCATGCATGAAGGGAGAGGGTGAAGCAAGGGAGTTGCGATCTGAGCTATACTGCTAAATGCCACTTAATCATACACACTGGTCCTTTACAGCTTTTAAAATAATTTGCAGCTTGCCAGCAATTAGACTTAATGTCACAAACCCTCGATGGACTAAAAGCCCTTTAGAATGTTTTCATCAGTGCTAGTATGGTGCCTAAAAGGACGTAATAATATGTATTATTGAGTCTGAACTCATGTTATTAAACTAATATTGATCTGACTGCAGCTTTTGACATGGTTCATGACCCAGCGGTTGCCCTGGAGACATTGGTATCATTAGGGTTCCAGCGTGTATTGACAAGTGGCTGTGACTCCACTGCTTTGGAGGGACTCCCTCTCATTAAACGGCTCATTGATCAAGTATGTATAAATTATACGTATTCACACATGTTGGCATGCAAACATATGGAACCAGCATAGCTATTTATCTGTTATCTCCACCTGTTACTCAACAGGCTAAAGGGAGAATTTCAATCATGCCAGGTTAGTACTTTTGATTTCTTTTGCATGCAATTTACATGTGGGTTGTTTTTCTTGATAGTTTATTTATCTTTTTTTTTTTTTTTTTTAACACAGGAGGGGGTATTACAGAGAGGAACCTGCAGAGAATTTTAGAGGGGTCAGGGGCTCAGGAGTTTCACTGCTCAGCCCGCTCCGGTAAGGACTCTGCCATGAAGTTCAGGTATGTTAAAATGGGCAATTTTGCCCATGCTTCAAAATAGTGCACAATTTCTTGCAACTATATACTATAACTAAATAACAACAATGATGTTTCCATGTTCAGGAACACCTGTGTGATGATGGGAGCTGCTTTCTCAGCACCCGAGTACGGCCTGAAGGTGGCAGATGTGAGCAAAGTCCGCACTCTTAATGCAATAGCCAGAAATACCTTGTGAATGGGTACTGGACAATCATGACAGACAACAAAACAGATACCTCAGTACTTCAGTTCACTGAAGCTGAAAATAATTATACATTTCAGAATAGCCATAGAAATGTGTTTTTTGTTTTGTTAATAATCAAACAGTCCTTGTAAAGTTAGAGCTCAGGGACAGCCCCACAACCTTCTGGGATATGTAGTCTATCGAAGTATCACAAAGTGCAGAGTGATCAATACTCAACAATTATTTCTGTACTGTATGTGGCCTAAAATACTCACTAGATTGCTAAATTAAAAGTTATTGTCTTCCAAATAATACCATAGGAAAATGACTAATCAGTGCTGTTACTTATACATTATTCTTTCCAGTTGCCATATAGTTTACCTATATTCATTTACAGCACTCCCTCTTTACAGTGGAAGATAACGCAAAGCTGTGACCTCCCGTACTAGTTTTTACAAGAACATTGTAACTTGATTCAGTTTGTTTAGAATTAAATGAAAAAAAATCAACATTTAAGTGTACTTTCTTTTATTGTTATTGTTTTTAAATGTCACCTCCAAGTCTCTCATTAAATTAACAAATTGTTACACTTCTGTAGAATCATGCTTCATTTACACTTCATTTTATTTGGGGTTGGAGAGTCATGTTACGTTCTTCATGTTGATATGTAACCAGACTGAATTGATTCTCAAATAGTTGATTCAAGTCTATGAAATGGTGAAAATTGACCTTATAAGGAACCTTCTGGCTGTACAGAAGTGAGAGAGTCAGAGAACCTGTGATATTAAACAAAGGGGCGTATCAGCAGACTGTTAATGGTGCCTGTAAATAGTTGTATGCCAAGATTTAAATTATTATTCAAATTTATAATTTTTACATCTCAAGGGTCAATTCACCTTGTTTGTCTTGACTGCATCATCCTGGAGTATAAAAACGGATGAACATAGTCAAACCAAGATGTTTTTGGTGCCTTCACTAAACCTTAACAGTAACATGTTAAGAATAAGACACACTATGAAGAGTATGTATGAAGTTCAAGAAGCAGGTTTACTGAGTCATGCGGATGAAAAACCCAGAACCCACATCAAAACTGGAACTTGGACTGATGATCTGTTTTACTGAGCAAAGTAATTCAGTTACTTCAATAAACTTACTTTAAAAGGCCCTGTCGGTCAGCTGTTGCATGTTTTTGTATTACACATTCTGTCAAGTACTTGACTATGTATGTATGACATCATGGTGGTTCAATATAAATGATGAACTGTCGCTGATGTAATGGATGTCACGTTGTGTTGACAACTGGCTTCATTAATAGGTTTTATTCTCTTCTAAGTGCACATAACAGTTGCCTAAATATTCACTATAGAATAAATCTACTTGACTTAACTTAAAACATGGTTTCTCACTAAGGTGCAGTGTGTATTAACTACTGGTGTATGGTCAGAGAGGAGAAAGAAGCAGATACAGTTGAGTTGGATGTTTAATATTTGAGCTGAAGTTCATGTAAGCACAGAGAGTTTACCCAATTCACAGACAGTTGGATTTGTAAAGAAGAATGAATATAGCCCTATAGTATATACTGGAAGACAACAGGTAAATTTGATCACCTATTTCTTCTATTATCCTAATTGCTTGTATTGTTAGGGAAACAGTACAAAACCCAAAGACGTTCTGTATCTGAGACGGAGAAAACAAGCAGATGTTCACTACTGAGAAACTGGAACCAGACAATGTTTTAAATTTTTGCTTAAAATGGGGTGTCCGCAGGGTGTTAAAAAGTATGAAATCTAATAGTCTTACTTTTTTTAAATCTGTTTTGGGGATTTGAATTGCCTTTAATTAATAGTGACAGCAAGAATGACACCCAGCAGCAAGGACTCAGCCTTGGTACATGGGGTGCCAGCTCTACCAGGTGAGCTATCCAAGCACCCCTCATAATTAGAATTTTAGGTCTTAAAATTAATTAATTATGGTGTTTACCTGGTCTTAAAAATCTATTGGGTTAACTACATTAATATTCATTCATTGATTGTATGAAGTCTCAATTTTACATGTGTTTTTGGGAAAGTTTATTGCATTTTTTTAACAACTACAAAATGAAACCGACATGGAACTTATACCGACTTATTCCTTCATTTCCTTCATACTGTTTTTGCCAGTATAGAAATATGTCTTAAATTGCATTCATAATGGTCTTAAAAGGTCTTAAGTTTAACCTGTTAAAACCTGCAGAAATAGAACAAGTTAAAACAACTATTATTCATTTAGGTCAATGTTTATTTTCCACTAGCTGTTTAATCTCTAGCTGTAGTATTTCCTTTTTGTGTGGCATTTTTCTTTAAGGGACCTTTGCCTCTTCCATACCTTAATAAAAATGTTCACTCAAATATTTAAATACATCTCTGGTTTTAAATTTCTCCCAGTTGTAGTCCTTTGTAGGCAGCAAATATTTATTTTGCTGTTATAAAATACAACATTTCAGCAGTTAATACTAGCATTATGATAGAGCACGAGGCTCACCTTTATGCATAGTTGCAAATTAGACATTTGTGTGGTTGTCCTTGGGGCTATACACACACTCATGAGTCAGCAAGTTTACGCCCATGTGGTGTTATCCAATATGTAATGATTAACCGTCACACAGTCAAAGTAATCTGTTTTATGAATATCACAGTCAGTGAAAGACTTTTCACACACAAGTCTGCATGAGTCATGTATTCGTTTTACTCTATTGCAGTTTGAACAAGTTTTATGTTTGCCCAATCTTATTTATCAGCTTTGTTAAAAGTTAAAAGTTTTGAAATTGAAACTTGAGACAGTATAAAGCTGAAAAAAAGCTGCTGTGTTTGATATGAGGCTGGATGACACGCACACATGGAGCATAACTTAAACAAAAGTGTTCCTCTCTCAAACAAACTCACACATACACGCAAGCAGAAGTCCTCTTTGTTTCTCTGGTTTGTGTTGAACTATCGTCTGGTAGCAATTAGTAGTCCAACATCAACACGGCACAGAAAAGAAAGCCCAGCACTTTGCATACTAGCACAAAAATGTGTTTTTTGGCCATGTAGTTTACCACCTGGTGGCTCCAGGTTAAAGTGATCTTATCCTTTGTTTGAATTCCTTGAAAGTACAGACCAAGGAAGCTCATCTTTTCTAAATCTCTCTTTGATTTGAGTCTATTGTATACAGTGTGTATTTTCGGAGTCCAGCCCCCTTCCTCAGAATAGGAAACAAAAAGAGAGAAGAAAAGCAGTCACCACCCTTTCCTCTCCCACAATTCCCTCCAGCCAACATTTATTTAGAAAATTTAAAAAATACTCTGCAACTCTTTCAAATAACACTTCAGCAGCTTTAACACCCTCGTTCGAATGCCTGACTCCATGAAACTAATCTGATGTGACTTGAGTTGCGAAAATGGGTCTCTGGCCAGAGAGAGTGAAGGCATGCAGAGGAGAAGTGGAAACACAACAGGAAAAAGGGGGTCTAATTTGCCCACTCCCTCCCCTTCCTTTCCCTATTTTGGTTGGCTGTCCCCATAACAGAAAGAAAAACAGCAGAGGAATACTGATCGTCCTTCTGCTTCTCTTTTTTCTGTTACATGCAGTCATCTGCCGGAAAAGAACTTTAGACACACTTGAGTGTCAGTGGGTATGTCCAAGGCTGGATCTTCTCAATGACTTTGCCTACATTTGTTGTGTTTCCTCATTTAACCATCGGGAGGGCTGCCTGCGTGTGCTTCTTCTGACACCAAACAAATCAAGACGACTGCTAGAGGACAACCCATAAGATCTTCTGCCTAATACAAAAGCAATCAGGACTCAGCTTAAGTATTAACCCCTCTGCTCTTCTCATCGATCCATATCTCTGACATATTAATGTCTTTTCTCTGCACAAAGGGGTTGCAAGGTTGGGTTTCTGCTTGAGAGCCTTATGGCTCAAAGTCCCTCAGAGTGACGTCCTGCAATTGTCTCTGGAGTGTGGTTGAACAGGACGGATAGAAGGAGCATTTAAGTCAGCCTTGACAGCAGTGAAGCAGAGGGTGAGAGGGCGCCTGGTTGTCCAGTCATCTAAAGGCAACTGAAGCCATCAGTGTGGACCATGAGTGTCGCAGCTCTGGACGAGTACTGTGGGTCCATCTTCTGGGTGAGTTCAACAGCCAGGGTTAATGTAGCCGATGGTAGACACAGTGGGAATGAGGGAATTGGCTTCATTGTGGCCTCAAGCTGATATCAGTTGACAGTTTTTTACACTCTCAAGATGAAGAACTAACTTTAGACATGCACACATGTGATCAATAAGTTACACAATCAATTCAATTAAATGGAAGTAGAGAATTACAGAGGTTGGACACAATAAAACCTACACAGAAATACAAAACATTATCTCTAGTAAGAACAAACTTTTTTGTTATTACAAAATACCACAGGCTCAAAAAAAAATGTGCTGTAAGCTTCTTCACTTCAAGACTTGTTGATCCCCTTGGTATGTGACAATATAAATATGAAGGACATGCTGTAGCTATGAAAGTTATTTCTAAAAACTGAACTAAGAAATGTTTGAAAAGGTATATTGTGTCCAAACAATATTTAGGGCGACGATAACGGAAGGTCTCTATTGTTTTCCTTCGTTTATTATTATTATTATTTTTTAGCGGCTTTGCTCGCATTTTCACCCCCTTAACGATTAAAATATTCGCATTTATTTGGCACATTTGTCAAGCCTCATTTAAATTGGAGATTCTATGCGCACATGCAGGTCAGCCACTAGGAAGGCCACTAGGTGGCGCTATTTGTAGGCAAATCGATGCTAATAACTCCCGCATAGTTTGTCTCACATTCAAAAACCTTATATCCACGCGTTCGGGAACGAGCTGAACCTCCCCATATAGGCCACGCCCACTTCCGCCTAGATTTTTTTCTAGAGCGCAAAATGTCCATAAATGTCTGTCCGGGGAACCTCCACACACTTTGTCCGATGCGCACGAAACTTGCACGTTTCATCTGTGGACCGTCCTGACAACAAAAGTAATTTGAAGAATTTTGATATTATAAAACATAAGGAAGTTATACAATTAGCACTTCCTGTTGATTTTTCGTCAAAAAAGGAAGTGGGGTATTTCTCCACGTTGGTATGTCCGATTTACACCAACCTTGGGTCAATAGTTCCCCATGTCTTCATTATGTATCGTGCACAATTTCAGGTCATCACCACTAGGTGGCGCTCTTAAAATGAAGGAGTTTATATCTCTGCATCGGCAAGTGTGATTAAGATGAAACTGGTATGCCTCCCCATGGCTCCCTGAGGCTCACCTAAAAACAAAAAAAACGCCACTAGGTGGTGCTCTTTGGCATGATAAATCACTGTAATAGTTATGAATATGAAATTCACAGGGTACGTGTAGAGTGGTGCCTGAAGCTCACATACCAAAAATCCTGTTTGTCCTGCTTGTAGCGCCCCCTACAGGATAAAAACATCAGCCCCGGCGCCACGTTCACCGACATGTACGAAACTCAATAGGCATGTAAATGTGCCGGGCGACAAAAAGCCTCTGGACCCATACCTCAAATCCCACAGGAAGTCGGCTATTTTCATTTAAAATTTGCACTTTGGCGGCCATTTGTGGTCATTTGACTCTTGGGCTTGTTTAGAACTAACTGCTCCTAGGGAATTTATCAGATCTGCTTCAAATTGGTCAGTACAGTCACAACATGGTGCTGAATGAACGCATTTCATTTTGTGACTGTACGTTGAAGGGCGCGTCCGTGGCGTGCCCTCAAAGTTGGCCATTTAGAACAAATGTCACTGTGATGTCATTTTTGCATTTCAGGGCTTCTATTTGAATGATGTTCTCCTACAGGTTCTATTGGATCTGCCTCAAAATTGGTCAGTACAGTCAAAACATGGTGCTGAATGAACGCCTTATATTTGGTGACTGTACGTTGAAGGGCGTGTCCGTGCCGTGCCCTCAAAGTTGGCCATTTAGAACAAATGTCACACTGTGATGTCATTTTGGCCTTTCAGGGCTTCTATTTGAATGATTTCCTCTGACACGTTCTAACGGATCTTCTTCAAAATTGGCAGTACAGTCACAACATGGTGCTGAATGAACGCATTTCATTTTGTGACTGTACGTTGAACGGCGTGTCCGTGGCGTGCCCTCAAATTTGGCCATTTTGAAGTCTGTGGTCTTGTATTTGAACAAACAAACTCCTAGAGAATTTATCAGATCGGCTTCAAAACTTGACGGGACTCTGAATAATCTTGCTGATTACAAGTTGTGCTATTTATGACTGTACGTTGAAGGACGTGTCCCAAGTGTCTCGTCAAAGTTGGACATTTTGAATTCTGTGGTCTTTTTTTCAAAGTGATGAAACACCATCACCCCTCCACTCCCACTAGCCACATCTACAAACCATATTTCCAAGGGACTATTGTTCGTGGAGCATAGTGTGAAACCGCTGGAAGTCACTTATTAAAGTGCAAGATAAATAGGGGACTTATCAAATCGTCTTCAAAATTGGACAGTCTTATAAAAACAAAGTGTACATGAAGAATTGAGCTATTTGTGACTGTACCCAAACTGCGTGCCGCTGACCCCCTTGTCGAATTCAGACCATTTTCCATTAAACGGTACTCATAACTTCAGTGTGCAATGTCCAATTTCCAATAAACTTCATATATTCTGTAACAGTCTCGCCCCTGAACGCGTCCTCATAACATCAGCCTACGTACACTGTCCCGCCATGAACTTGTCTACGTGACAAGATTCAGAAAAGTGAAAGCACAGCATACTGGCAACAGGAAGGAAGCGCTGCGTGGCATACGGAGCTGATTTGGAGCAGTTTTACGTGACGTATTCCCGTTGCCGTCCGCGCTTGTTACGACGGCACGTGGCGTGGCCTCGGCGAACCCCGACCGCACGTGACGCGTTTGCGGCGCGCCCCGACGAGCGCCGGGTGCGAGGTCCCGCCCCAACGCTGCTTGCAGCTTTAATTTATATTGATCTTTTAGGGGAAGTCATTTGATATGTTTTCACCTCTGTACACAGTGAGCTCAGTGAACATGTGACTGAACAATAATGACATAACTCAGCATGTCCTACAACTGAAGCACATGTTTATGAGTTGTAACTGTATGATTATAGAAGTACTTGAAATATGAATATTTTGTCCATTATTCAATTATTTTTTGGATGATTTTTTCTCTTCAGTAGAAGAGCAGTTTCTAGAAAAAACCCACAAGGAAAAGCAGAAAGATTTTTCAGACAAAATACTTGACCTAAGATGTGACCTAGGGCTCTGGGAAGATGTGATTTTTTCCCCTTCTTTTGACATTTTATAGACTTAGCTTTTAACTAATCACTTAAAACAAGCAGTCCAGCAACCATAAACACATACACACATCTGACTGTATTCCCAGACCCTACATTTGCTTCTGGAGACTGTGAAATAGATCTTGGCTTCTCCTAATAACAGGTTGCTCATACAGCAGGTGGCAATAACTTCAACTACTTTATCGACACACTAATGAATACTTTCAAAGCACGTCAAAAGCTGGAAACACCACAGTTTCAGGGTCTTTTGTTCAGATAACATATCCTAAGTGTTCTTTCACTTCACATCCTTGTCTGTTTGCATCCATCTCTCCATTGCTCTCTGCTCTCCAGAAGTGCACATTACAAATGCAGCTGCACTTACAGCAGTAAGCAGGGACTTAGGGTTTAATTACATGTGAGTCACTGTTGATTAAATTTCTATTTAGGGAGGTGTGGTGTGTCCCTGTGGTGTAATATAGAGTGAGCTCAAGGGGTACACAGAAGGAAGTGTATTTGGGTTTACCTTTCTCTGAGATTGACTTATTGATTGACCTAGGAGGGCAGCAGCCTTATTTTGTAAATTATGGTTTTATTCTTGTGTGATGTGTGTTTATTATGTGTGTGTGTGTGTGTGTGTGTGTGTGTGTGTGTGTGTGTGTGTGTGTGTGTGTGTGTGTGTGTGTGTGTGTGTGTGTTTGTGTGCACATCAGAATGCCTCGTATTTGAATAGAGAAGATCCAGACCTCCCGGTATGTGTAGAGCAGACGATTCTGGTCTGGATCCCTCTGGGGTTCCTATGGCTCTGTGCCCCGTGGCACCTGGTGTCTCTCTGCAGGAAGACAGTGAATACAAAACACCTGTCCAAGCTCTACCTCTGCAAACAGGTAATGCACACAGCAATAAAAAGAAACAGACACATTGTTCCATTCATAATGTGATGCTGAGAGGGAAGAGGAGGAAACTGATTTTACAGTAACAACAGCAGCAAGTACCCCATGATTAAGAAATCTTGGTCCAAGGGGTACAATTATTAGATTTCCTGTCTTATTTTTTATTTTAAGATCTACAGACAAGTATAACAATACTCTGCTTAGAGTAATAATTTGTGTCTGGTATGTCATTATTATATTCTTTCACAAAAACATTCAATTATGTAGCTCTACTCTTCCACCCTCATTAAAAAAAAAATCCAGAATCTATGAATATGCAAATGTTTTTAGTTTAACTAGACACAAGATGGCTTCTTTACCTACACTGAAGGTTTCTAGTTTCTACATTCCACTTATTGGGGGTTGCATATTGGACCATGCCTCTTAAACTAGTTGAGATGTGACAAAATCTCTGTTCTTTCAGTATCAAACTGCACATTGAAAGTCAAACATCCAGGTGAAGCAACAATAAGCAGAACACACTTTTGAGTGGTTTCAGGCTTTAATGTGATTTATATGCCAGTCTTGTCTGTCTTTCTTCTCTTCAGCTTGTGGTGTCTCTGTTGTTCCTGACGGCCATAGCAGCCCTGGCTGTCACATTAGGAGAGGATTTTGGTCCAAGCAAAGACCCACCTTCAACAGTGAAAAATGCTGGCGTATACTACGCAAACCCTGTCCTGTACGCTGTCACATGGGTAAATATAGCTGGTTTTCCATTTATAATGGTAGCCGTAGCTGGAGGCATTATGTTTTCAGGTTGTTCATCCAGTTCTTGTGCACATGGCATTTCCAGAGCACCTTATGGGAATTTCTTCAAATACTGTACTAATGTCATGAATATGAACTGATGAAATTTATTTTACCCAAAAGGTCAAACGTCAATTTCTTTGTGTCATTATAATGTCCTGTCCTATCTTTTGTCCATTAGTCAACACCATAACCTCCTGTCCTATCTTTTGTCCATTAGTCAACACCATAACCTCCTGTCCTATCTTTTGTCCATTAGTCAACACCATAACCTCCTGTCCTATCTTTTGTTCATTAGTCAACACCCTAACGTCCTATACTATTTTTCATCCATTAGTCAATACCATAATGCAGTGACAAAAAGTAATCAAGTTCAAAGGTCATTGTGACCTCAAAATAAGTTTTTAGCCATACGAATTACTTGGGCAATGCACATCTTGCCTGGGACGACACAGTGAGTAAACGTCTCATCTATTCTGCTGTCATCAGAATCACATGACTGCAAACAACATATTGGAGCACGCTATTGGAGCTAATCCTGATCCCATGAGTGCGTTTCAACTACAGGTTATAGTGAAGCTTTGCATCTAAAAATCCTAAGAGAAAACAAAAGCACCGCATTTTGTATGGCTATACTATAAGAATCCATCTTTACATAGCGATCAAGTACACAGATACGTGATTAGCCAATACACTTAATGATAATCCTTCATTTAACAATTCAAAAAGCTATATTCACTGAAATCATACATTAAAGAGATAATAATGATTCCTTGTAACTTGAAAACATAATAGCGCACTTTTATTTAGTTCCATCAAAGTCACAACATAGCCTATATTATATACAGTTAGTCTGGACAGGTTAGCGGAGGCATACAACTGCGGGGTGGTAATTCTAACCTTTTGGTGCTCAAGGATGAAAGATGACATGTTTATTTATGTTCTGACTTGCCTCCTTTGTTAGATCCTTCTGCTGCTGTGTCAGGAAGGAGTTAGGCGGAGGAAAGGAGCAGTAGACTCCGCCACTCTCTTCGTCTTCTGGTTTCTCCTTGTCCTGTGCGACGTCTTCCCTTTCCAGACCCTCTTACGAGAGGCACTGAAGCTGGTATGAGCTGCGACATTAGAAGTGATACCAGGTGTTACGCTAGAAGAAAAGTGGTATCACTTTAGCACTGATTTAGCAGAATGCAGTTACTTCATATAATGTCCTTCAGCTGTCCATATGTAGTATCAGTCAAACACCATTCACTGTTGTATCTCTGTGTTTCTTAAATATATTCCTTACTCTCATCTTTGATCATCAGGGAGAGATCAGTGATGTCCCTCGGTTCTGCCTTTTCTACATCTCTTTTGGGCTGGAATTGATTGCACTTATTCTCTCTGCTGTGGCTGATATCCCATCGGAAGCCAAGGAGCGTGTAAAAAATGTACCAAAGCAACAATCTTTGTTTTATCTTTGTGTTTTAATGCTGCAAAAATTCATAACACACTGAATCTTCATTCCCTCAGCCTGATGTGAACGTAATCCACCTTTTGGCTTTTATCGCTTTTATCCACAGAATCCTGAGGCAGGTGCAACATTTTTGAGCAGAATCACTTTCAACTGGTTTAACAGGTAAATTAAAAGTTGGTAGCTTTATTAAGTAAGACAGTAAGAATCCCAGCAAACACACACAACTTTCAACTTCTCCTTGTCTCCCTAGCATGGTGCTGAAGGGGTACAAGCGGCCCCTGGTTCAGGAGGACATGTGGGACCTAAACGAAATAGATAGCACTTCATACATCAACCAATGCTTCCAGCATGTCATGCAGTCGGAGTTGGGCGCAGCTCGGGTCCGTTATCAAAACAAGTTGAAGAAGAAACAGAATGAGAACAGAGACAAAGCCCAGGGAGAGGCCTTTCAAAATGGTCTGGGGAAAGGTGTCAGTCAGGATGTGCTGATGATGGTAAAAATATGAATGATTTATAACTAAATTTATAACTATTTATTCTATCTATTTATAGAATCAAGCCATGGAGCTCAAAGGTAATGTCCAAACAATATTTTTCTTTAGGAGGAAAGGGGAAAGAAAGCAGATGAAAAGAAGAAGAAAAAGAAGAAGGAGAAGGACAATGACTATCCAAACTCATGGCTGATTACCACAATTTACAAGACTTTTAGAGGGATTCTGCTTGAATCTGCTTTCTTCAAACTTCTGCAGGACCTGCTGGCTTTTGCCAGTCCTCAACTCCTAAAGTGAGTCAAGTCTGAAACACACAAAAACTTTTCACTGGCACCAAGATGTTGTGATTTAATGCAGTTGTCTTGTAAGCAGCACATTTTTCATGTAGATTAATGTGTTAATATTTTTTATTGCTTGTGATTTTAAATAGTTTAATTAAATTATCTTATTGCTATTTCATTGATAAACAGACAGAACACAAACCCTGAAATTCCTAAGTCACTCTGCATCACTGTCAACAAAGCATTTTTTACTGCTGTTTGCACCTTCACTCTGTCAGGATTCACTACAATCATTAACTCAGGGTCAAATAACTCACAGCAGCAGATTGCTTTCATTTTCCAACTTGTAGTCTTCAGCTTTTATCAGTGCACATTATGTGACATTCATTTGAGGAAAATTTTGAGCGAGAAAAATGCTTTATACATCTATTTTTACATTTGCCGTAGTGCTCCCCAAGATCTGTAAACAGACTTTGACTGCATTTCCCTTTAAAGCTGTAAACATAACATTCAATGGCCTTGTGAATATTCTAACCATTATAGTTTAACTATTCACTACTCACTGGTTAGTTCAAACATCAACTGATAACACCAGGGTCTGACAGGTTAGGGATAAAGGTGAGAAAGAAGAAAAATAATGAGGGAAAGGAGAATAATTGCATTACTGAAAAATATATCCAATTAGATGCTGGAAATAGCAGCAAATGTTGATCCACATTAACTAATTTTTTTCTTTTCCAAGACTGATGATCTCCTTCACTCAGGACAAATCCAGGTACACCTGGGAAGGGTATCTGTATGCAGTACTGCTGCTGGTGGTAGCCGTTCTGCAGTCTCTGTTCCTGCAGCAGTACTTCCAGCGCTGCTTTGTGCTGGGGATGAAGGTTCGCACTGCCATCATGGCTAGCGTGTACAAAAAGGTAAAAACACGAGTGACATCACAATGACATTTACTTTTAACAAATGACTGTTCCCATTCACATCATAAGAAATAAATTAGTGCTCAGATTTTGACCACATAATTGTCACCAAAAAAAGGAACATTGTCACCTTGCCTTTGTGGGCTTCATGCCTCAGTCGCTTTTGTATCTTACAAGATAAATTTGCTCTTTCCTGTGCTATTCAATATCTCATATGTTTGGATAGAGTGGTAACTGTAGCTGTGCCTCCACAGGCCCCTTCTGCTGTGTTCAGCAAGAGCATGTTTTCCAAAGATTTGTTTTTTGTTGTCTCTGTATCATTAAATCCATCCATTAAATTGGCCTCTTACTTCCTTCCCATTTCCCTCTCTCCCTACAATCCCTTCTTCATCCCTTTTCCAAGGCATTGGTGGTGTCCAATGAAGCTCGTAAAGAGTCAACGGTTGGAGAAACGGTGAACCTGATGTCAGCAGACGCCCAGCGTTTCAACGATGTGACAAACTTCATCCACCTGCTGTGGTCCTGCCCTCTGCAGATCACCCTGTCCATTGTTTTCCTGTGGCTGGAGTTAGGACCATCTGTGTTGGCGGGACTGGCAGTCATGGTGCTAATGGTGCCGATCAATGGATTTCTAGCCACCAAGGCCAGAAATATCCAGGTCAGCAGAAATACACAGTACAGTTGTTACACCTTTGAAAATGTAGAGCACTGGTGCACTCAGAAGCTCACCTGGTAGTGGCCCGAGTATGATTACAACCTTTGCTGCATGTCATTCCCCTCTCTTTCTCTCTCCCAACTTTTAAGCTGTCACTATCCAAAAATAAAAGCCCCACCAAGTACACCAAAAAAGAGTCCCTTAATTTTACTTTTAAATCTTAATTGCACCGTGAGTAATCTTCTTTATTCCACTGGCTGAAATGTTCCACTCCACTTGAAAAAACAGCAGAGGGAGTGAAGCTTTTTCAGCTTCTTTTTTCCCTTTTTATTTACCTGATTATTTAAATAATACAGAAAATTACTGAAACCATATAAACACTAGATACTAATTACATCCCCCTCTGCAAACATAAAGTGCAAGCAGACAGAAGCATAGAGACAATAGTATTTTTCTAAGAACAGCAACACATACAAAAATAATGAAGCATGCATCATTAGGGAATGGTTTTATAACATCTTGTGCTGCTTAGTTATATATACCTAGTTGTATTAGATAACAAAAATTATAGAAAATACAAAACAAATGTTTTGTACTGTACATACATTTATAAGCTCATATCAAATGTTTCTTGTTATTTTCTTGTTATTAGCTCATATCAAATGTTTCTTGTTATTTGTTTCATTATCTGTTGAACATGAACAGTGAGCTGCATGTCCCAAATTATTTACATGATTTTTTCGGGTTTCAGATAGAGAATATGAAGTTCAAAGACAAGAGACTGAAAATCATGAATGAAATACTCAATGGCATTAAGGTGAGTTCCCTTATTCAGTTATTTCAACAATCACCGATAATAAGTGTAATGTCACCACCTCTGCTCTTTCTTTTGTGTATAAATAGTTTGGTGGATTGGTTGAAATGGGGGACTCCGTGTGAGGCCTTCCTCAGATGAAAGGCTTTTATTTCTCAGGAAAAAGCTGAAATGTTAGTCATAGTGCTTTCTATTATACTGTATCCACCACCTGTGGTTTATCACATAAGGTATGAATGCTATCCCTATGTTCCCCCACCCTTCCCTTTCCTTGTCCTCCACAATGTGCCCCCCTCTTGTCTCCCTCTTCATCTCTCGCCTCCTATCAGATTCTGAAGCTGTATGCATGGGAGCCATCCTTCCAAACACAGGTAGAAGACATTAGGGGGCAGGAACTAAAGGTCATGAGGAAATTTGCCTACCTGACGTCTGTCTCGACCTTCATCTTCAGCTGTGCTCCTGCTCTGGTGAGTCCTGTGAAGGAGTCTCACAAAATAGACAGAGAAGAGAAGCAGGACTGGTCTTTTTTTTATTTTCCTCACGTTGTCTTTTTTCCGCAGGTTTCTCTTGCAACATTTGCAGTGTTTGTAGGGGTGAGCTCAGACAATGTGTTGACTGCTGAGAAAGCTTTCACTTCCATCTCTCTTTTCAACATCCTCCGATTTCCCCTGGCCATGCTGCCCATGCTCATTGCTGCCATGGTGCAAGTAAGGGAACAACAGAACACGGCACTTAAACACATATCAAACCTGTGCTAAAATCCCATTAACCTTTTCTTTGACACTTCAGACGACAGTGTCTAGGAAGCGCTTGGAGAAGTTTCTGGGAGGTGAAGACCTGGACAGTGACATTGTGCGCCATGACCCCAGTTTCAGTACGTTCACCATCAGCATTTAATTGTGTTTACCAGTTGTTGGTACACATACTGTGAATCAGTCTCTGTATATCTGTTCTTACTTCTCTGTGCATCTGTTCTCTTCTGTTAGACACTGCTGTTAGCATAAGTGACGGCTCATTCGCTTGGGAAAAAGAAGCTGATCCTCTGCTGAAAAAGTATGTTTATTGAGTCAAAACCAAAACTACACATTTGGATGTTGTGTCGTATGACTGCAAAACATTATATTTGTCCCTACTGCACTTTAAAATATTGAACATATTTATTCTGTGTGAGTTTTCTAGTGTGTCCTTGGATATTAAGCCAGGCCGTTTGGTAGCAGTAGTGGGAGCTGTGGGCTCAGGAAAGTCTTCTCTTATGTCAGCCCTCCTTGGAGAGATGCACAGCACCAAAGGCTTTATCAACATTCAGGTGACACCTTATTTCTGACTTTATGTCTGTCTAACACTAATGGTGTGTTCAGCCAAGGACATATCGTGTGCACAACATTCTGTTGAACACTGAATGACTGAATGACTTAGCGCAAAAGTGATTCAAGAGTCCCCTCTCTTTTTATTTAAAGGCAGAATCTTCAGCAGGTTTAAAATACAAAATAACTTTAAACAGCAGTAGTTATAGTCATACAGGATTAAAATGCAATGAAGCCTTTGAACAACACATTATGTAATACCACTGCAGATTATTACCATGTAAAAATCCAACAAAACATAATACATTTTCACTTCACTACATTATAACACCCTCATTTTGTTACAATCTATGTATTACATATTGTGTCCATGCTCTGTATTACAAAATGTGGGCGTTTTTTTCGAGTTATTACATAATGTGTGTTTCCTTTGTGGTCCTTCAACATAAAACAAACCACACAACAAAAAAATAAATCAAAGACAAAACATGTATACAATGACAGAGTGGCACAATCTACATGTTTCAGGCTCGTATCATAATGGGTTTGCTCTTTTTCCTGTCCAGGGTTCCCTTGCATTTGTTCCGCAACAAGCCTGGATCCAAAATGCCACTGTGAGGGATAATATCCTGTTTGGCTCTCCCCATAAAGAAAGGAGGTTCCAGGAGGTGATACAGGCCTGTGCCCTGGCCCCTGACCTGAAGCTGCTGCCTGGGGGTGACCTCACTGAGATTGGAGAGAAAGTAAGACTTAAAGATTTGCCCACCCAAGGATTTGAATATGATAGTCATTGGAGTACATCTCATCCTGTGTAAACACATCTCGATGTTCAGTGAGAACACAAGCACAGTCATAACTGAACATTTGTCTCAGATGACCCCAAAGCACACAAAATAAAACTTAAATGAAAATACTGATGAGTTATTAATGTATTTTAAAATATGAATATATGTGAAATCATTATGGTTTTGATTAGTGATCAAATCATCCTTCACTACCACTGCTTTTGCTTTCTTTAGCCCATTCACTCTAAATCAGGTTTACTTCACATTAAATTTTTTTTTCCTATTGTCATGAATTCCATTCTTTTTTTTCAATTATAAAACCAACTTTTAGATGAAAAACATCATGTCTGGTTTTTTTTCTTCTCAAGGTTGTGTTATTGTTTAATAGCCATGGTGTTGTGCAAAGATTCAGCCCCTGAGAAGTGCTGTCCAAAAGTGAAACCACAGAGAGAAATAACAAGAAAACACAGATGAACATAGATGTTCTTGGATTTATGAGAAGCTCAGTATGCTCCTTCAGACCCAATATTAACTTGTGCTGTTTCTTTCCTCGCCTCTCCTCTGTCCTCAGGGCATCAACCTCTCAGGGGGTCAGAAGCAACGTGTGAGCTTGGCCCGGGCAGCTTACAGTCAGGCTGATATTTATCTCTTAGATGACCCCTTGTCTGCTGTGGACTCTCACGTAGGAAAGCATCTCTTTGAGAAAGTGATTGGACCCAATGGAATACTCAAAAACAAGGTTTGTGTTGAGCCTACATTCGTACATTAATCAGTGTTCGATGTTTCAGTTCAGAATAACTACTATCTGAACTACTATTCACAGTAACATGTTCAATGTTGGTAGCATTAGTAGCAGGCAGTTCAGGATATGATTCTTTTTTTAAACCACAGGTGTATTTACAGTAATTCCATATTTATCCTGGTATATAAGCAGCGCAGTATATGATTACATTTTTTACTGCCTAAAAAAGATTACGATTTTACAGCTGTGTCCCACTGTATCTTTGTCTTTACAGACTCGTATCTTGGTGACTCACGGAGTAAGCTTCCTGCCATACGTAGATGAAATAGTGGTCTTGGTGGATGGTGTGGTTTCTGAAGTTGGATCCTACAGCAGCCTTCGTGCCAGCAAAGGAGCCTTTTCTGAGTTTCTAGACACTTATGCCAAAGAGCAAAGTAATCAGGCCGATTTACAGTCTGGTAATTACCTTTTTCCTCAATGCATTATGGATGGAAGATGTACAAAATACTGCACTTTTACTGTGGGTGACATTTGCATATGCGATTATAAACTATATAAAGCGTGCTCCAGTGACATTTCTTCATATTTGTATCAATACTTTAAATTGAAATGATTCACTCAAAAGAGCACAGTCAATCTTGTGAAATGTAGGGGAGACCGGGGCTTGTTGTCACACGGGTAAGTTGTCACATTGCAATTATCTTCTCCACCAAGGGGCGCAACTAAAAAGTGAAATACTAGTTTTCTTCCTTTACATGGTCAGGTGTCATGTCCTGTCTGAGAAGAGGATAGCACATTGTGAGCTGAGATGAGCACCAAGTAACCATTTTGCACAACCCAAAGTAAAAGATATCAACCTTATATATAAATAAGCTTCATTCAGATAAAAATCCTTACAGTGATATATGTGGACTTGTTAGAGTAGAGATTAAGGCATCCTGTCATACCTCAGTCAGTGTTCTGTTTTAAGCTAAGTTTAAGCTAGAGCTAGTGTTAGCAAACATGGTAGTTTGGGGCAACATGTCTCAGTCATTTTGGGGTTAGTTGTCACACCCATATTTTGATGAAAATGCACTGCATATATTGACTTGCAATTTTTTAACACTATTATTATAGTGCATTATTATATAATGAACTAAATACTAATGAACCAATGCTTTCTTTTTTTGTAATTCAATTCAATCTGGAATTTTGAGCTTAAGAAAGGTAAAACAGGCATTTGAGTCTGAGAGCCACAGCCTACGCCTCAGCAGTTCCTAAGGACTTTAATCGAGTGCATGTTGCATAATATTTTATGTTAACGTTTGTTCAATGGCTTTTTCAAGCTCAATGATAAACATTTTCTGTGCCTGACTTCAATGTTCACTTTCAAGTAAAAAAGAACAACAACAATAATTTTGTCCTTGTTTTATTAGTTGCAAAATCCAGCGAGACATCTTACCCCATATAGTAAGACAACTAACCCGATGGTGGGGCAACATGTCACATGTTCACACTTTCTATTTGAATACAAAATATATACCTGAGACTTTGGTCTTTCCTCTGGTACACATTTTTTTTTTTATATGACGTATTGATTCCAAGAAATATATAAGAGTGTAAAAAGTGTGACAACAAGCCCCGGTCTCCCCTACTATTTCTACAGTTTTGTAATGTAACACGTATGATCTGTAACCATATTTATTCAGATCGCTCAGATCGTTGCCAGGACACTGCAGATGTAGAGCTCATCCCTGAAAGAGAGGACACTCAACCTGACTCTCCTTTGGAGGACACGGTTTCTGTTACACTCAAGAGGGAAAACAGCATCCGCCGCAGCCAGCGCATGGGCAGGTTAGAGCACACTGAAGTGGTGGCAACAACATAAAAAAAAACAGCTCATGTCCAAAATACTGCCTCATAGTATCTCTTTTTTTTATGCACAGCATACAAGAACAATGTTTTATTTTCCACCACCAATATCGTTTCATCCTGTTTTTGTTTATTTTGTCTATTCTGTGCTTTTTTCTAGTGTCAGACTAAGAAAAAATAGTTCCATAAAAAAATCAGAAGATGCTGATGAATCAAAGCAAGGTCAGAAGCTAATAGAGAAGGAAACTATGGAAACAGGACAGGTAATCTCCATTTTTTGTCTACCAAAATATTTTTTCCACAATGACACATAATAAGAAAATCTGAAGTTTTTCCTGAGCCATTTTTCTTTCTTCTATCCAGGTGAAGTTCTCAGTGTACCTCCAGTACTTGCGTGCCATGGGCTGGGGATATACTGTTATGGTCTTCGTGGTTTACTTCATCCAGAACATTGCTTTCATCGGTCAGAACCTGTGGCTAAGTGACTGGACCAATGATGCAGTGGATTACTACAACATGACATACCCTAACTGGAAGAGGGACACCAGGGTGGGAGTGTTTGGTGCTCTGGGAGTTGCTCAAGGTATGGAGCCCCTTAAGTCCTGTAAGGGGATATTTTCAATATTGTGCAAACAAGTTATTATCTTGTATCAGTGACCGTTCTTTCATCTCTCCTTTTATTTTCTGTCTTCTCTTTAGATAATAAAAGCATCAAATATGTAAAATTACTTTTAAATACCAGTCATAGTATCAATTATTCTATATTTTTACACTATGACTTTTCATTTATTAACCTGTAATATTGCTATGAGATGATCATATACTGTAAAATAACCTTGTTACTTATCACTACAATTATCCGATAGTCATCATTATCTGTTAAAATCATTCATATATTATGGGATTGTGGTAATAGTATAACGCTAAGGGGATTTCACAGTATATAATTGTCTACAGGTGTGTTAATGAAAAATCACAGTGTAAAACTATAAATGATCTATGAAGAAAAGTGGATGCTATGACCAATATTTGCTTTTAACGTCTAAAGAGAAGACTAAGGAAGATGAAACAAAGGTCACTGAAGATGATATTTGAGGTCATTACTTTTTGTATGTTGCAAATATTTACAAATTCATGTAAGTTAGCTTCAAAGCTGAAGTGACAGTAGACAGACGACAGCAGTACTCAGTTAGTCGCAGTCTGAAACTTCACCACTAGATGCCACTAAATACTACACAATGGTCCTTTAAACCTGGACAGAGCCAGGCCAACTGTTTCCCCCTGCTTCTAGTCTTTATGCTAAACTATGCTAGTTGTCTCTTGATTATCACACCTACATTGAGAGTGGTATCAGTTCCTAATTTAAAGTGTGTTTCTCAAAATGTCAACCCTTCTTTTCATCTAGTTGCTTTGAAAGATAAAAGCATTTGCTTAGGATCCTTTTTGACATCTAATGCTTTCATGCTAATGCTTGTTGTTTTTGTTTTTTGCACTTAACAGTCATTTTCATACCATTTGAATCTAATTTTCATCAGAGACAGAATTAATTGTCAGGATGTTTAAAAAAAAAGCAGAACTCTTTTTCGTCGAAGTGCAGAGGAGTTTATATAAAGCTAAACAGGACAAAATAAGAATGGATGATTGCACTAAACCACAGGGAAATGAGGAAGTGCGGCTGTCAGTTACTACTTGTGTCGTTTTCCTCCAAGATTGTAGGTTCATGTTGAAGTCATGATTGAATCGTCCCTGCCGACAGGCATAATAATGAAATATTGCCACAGCTCTGTTTTATTGTAACTGGAGAGACAAACCTGCTGTTTCAATTTCAGGACAGATAGACTAGTGCGACTTTGTCTACAGCGGACCAAATATTTTTTTCTTTTCTGTCAGGGGTGTTGAGGGGAGTTGATTTATATGTGCTCTCTTTATTTCATGAATACAGAATGTACTCTACATACAACAGGCTGATGTTTGAGTCGAATGTGGATTGGTTTTTGCTCCTGTATTTAGATTTGAGATGTGGTTTTGTTTCATCCATCCTCTTGTCAGTTGAGGGAATGAAAATATGAACCACTGAAGGTCACAGAACCATAACTGGCAAACTGTCTTTTCTTGGCTGTAGTGTAAAGTGACCTTCAATGAAATTACTTTTCTGACAACAGAATGAAACTTGGTTCAACATCTTTATTGGGGTACCAAAAGACATTCTGATAACTACAGAGAGTTGGCCTTTTCATTGCAATGATAACAATAGAGCATTACAATGTGGAAGTACACAAGCAATGTTTGCTTTCTTTTTACTGCTGCATTCTATTGAAGTGTTGTTGGTGCATTGTCTACTTAAAGTATTTCTAGTTGTAGTATAACGGTCTTCTTTCTTAAAAGTAAAGTTTATAAGCAAACATTGGTCCCCCACTCCTAAAATGTTTGATGATATATTTTGGAACCTGCCACACTAGAATTGTCTGTCATACTTGAAGTCCTCTCCAAATAGCTGCTCAAGTTTATTCAGCAGGTTGCTCTTGACATCAGTGTTAAGTACCTCTTTTGGAAATTGGTGATGAAACCACAATTGCTTATCAGCCACAGAAGCATGAATGACACACCAGATAAGATGTAGTGTTTTCAAAATGTTGCCTGAACTAATGTTGTGCTCCATTTTAACAACTGTAACTGATTAGCAGACAGGTCATTAGTAGAGAGAGATTAGAGTAAAGAGCACTTGAGGCTTAATTGTGGGGGCTTGTGTTCTAATGAGGAACAACACTATTACATTAATGTAATAGAGGCACATATTTTAGCACTTTCCTGACTATTATTAGAATGCACCATGGTAATGTTTTTAATATGGTAAAATGTTGTTTTACATACTGTATTGTGAGGTCCAGTAAGTATGCTGACAGGGATTTTTGGCCTGATTCTTCACATTTGTCCCATATTTACAACACAAGCACAATTGTGGCTTTTAGGATTAGTGAACCTACCTAACCTAAGCTTGTCTCCATTTAACTTTAACATGACGTTCGGAGCTTGAATATATGCAGATGAAAGTAGCAACTACTCATACATTTTTATATATGAGTAGAAAAAACTGCAAGTTTAGTTCTTCACGAACCTCCTTCATGCTTTGGTGCAACATGGCTTTCACTGTGTGAAGGTATAATTCTATATTTTTGAAACTTTCTCCTTTTATTGGCAGGCCTGTTTGTATTCCTCGGTACCCTGCTAATGGCCAATGCTTCGGTCAATGCATCTCGTATCCTGCATTCGAGGCTGCTTGACAACATTCTGCGAGTTCCCATGGTGTTCTTTGACACCACACCCATTGGAAGGGTGGTCAACCGCTTTGCAAAGGTAGGATTTATCATCATCATATTTGTTCATAATGTTTACCATTGTCCTCTTACTCTTTTTCTGTCTTTTGTTGTTGCTTTCTGGTTTTGATACATATATATTCTTGTCTGCATAAAGTCATCTCAGTTGGATGCCAGGATATATTAGAACGATCTGCTGGACTGTGGAGAGCAATTTCATTACTCAGTTAAAATGAATAATTCTTCCTGCAAAATGTATTATATACAGGGGCATTCAAATTTTGAAGCCCTTTAAGCTTAATGTGATATCTCCATGTGATGCCCCCTCAGGTGTACTCAAATATGTTTTTGACCACCAGCAATCACAGAATTTCCACAGGTGTCAATGTAATGTAGAGGGATTCATTGAGATTGGATTATTCTGCACTGTAATAAGTTACCATTGAGACCAACTTTTCTCTTAACTGGTTCTAAAGGACATTTTCACAGTGGATGAGGCCATTCCACAGTCCTTCCGCTCCTGGCTCCTGTGTCTGCTAGGTGTTCTGGGGACACTGTTTGTCATCTGTCTGGCCACTCCTTTCTTCACCATAATCATCATTCCTTTAGCCCTGGTCTACTACTTTGTACAGGTAGGCTGACAAAAACAGCACCAGAAAAACATGCCTAGGGAAGAGAAAAGAAAATATGTAGCCTATTTTTTGAAAACTAACAGAAATGAATGACAATTTATAAGAGAGAAGGGTGTTCCTATTGTAAAGACAATCCAATTAAACCTTCCACTGTTTTCTGTTAATTTCTCTTGCCTTCTCTCTACACCTAGCGCTTCTATGTGGCGACTTCAAGACAGCTGCGACGGCTGGACTCAGTGTCTCGCTCTCCCATTTACTCACACTTTAGTGAGACTGTGTCGGGTCTGTCAGTGATAAGAGCCTACGGCCATCAAGACAGGTTTCTTAAGCACAATGAAATCACTATTGATGGAAACCTGAAGAGCGTCTACCCGTGGATAGTGTCAAACAGGTCAGATATTTAACTCCAAGTGCACCTTCAAACACAAAGCATCAACAAATCCAAACACATTATTTCTTTAATGGGATTTTCAGTGTGTGTTTGTTCACTTTGCAGATGGCTGGCCATCCGTCTAGAGTTCCTTGGAAACCTGGTGGTGTTTTTTGCTGCTCTGTTTGCAGTCATTTCTAGAGATTCTTTGGACAGTGGCCTGGTTGGCTTGTCTATATCCTACGCCCTGAATGTCAGTGACTCTCACACTAATCACACACACTGCAGATAATGTTAATGGCAATAATGATTACAGTTTTAATGATTCTGTGGTGATTGATTAGCTGTAATAACCTCTCCTTTTGGGGCTTTGCAGGTAACCCAGACACTAAACTGGCTGGTGAGGATGACCTCAGAGCTGGAGACCAATATTGTAGCCGTGGAGAGAGTGAGTGAATACAGCGAGCTTGAGAACGAGGTATGTTGAATGTAGTGCTTTTCTTTATATTCACAAACCACTCTTGGAACATAACTTCATTTGCACTAGTTACCAAAGACCAGACCACTGTTTCAAATTCCCACCATTTTCTCAGACATATTTTGTAATAGGTTACTTTGACAACTGCTCCACTGTTTCTCATCTACGCTACACATCTTTGTTGCTACAGGCTAAATGGGTAACTGAAACTCGACCTACAGAGAAGTGGCCTGAGGAAGGAAGGCTACAGTTTGACAACTACAAGGTCCGTTACAGACCAGGATTAGAGCTGGTGCTGCATGGAGTCACCTGTAACATCAGCAGCACTGAGAAGGTCTGTGTGTTTGTGTCTGTATACCTGTCAATGTGTGTATAACAAGCCTGTAGGATTCTTCAAAGTGTGAATCTTAATTGGACTTCTGAATAGATAAAACCCCTATATCAATATTATTGTGCCAGTATGCAGCTAAAAATATCAAATATGTCTTTAAAACAATAATATAAACCAAACAATTATGTTTAGTTATGTAGTTGCTGTTTATATTTTACAGTCACTTGTCACATGTGCATACTGTAAATAACTAGTAACTTCCGATCAACACAACCTATCAAATCAACGTGTTTGAAACAGGTTTGACATCTTGAGAATTAGATATAAAAGGATTCGAAACAGTGGCAAATGTGTGACTTTGAAGTCAGTTTCAGCTAATAAAAAAGGGCAGATTTAATTGTGGCTTCTTTAAACTGGTGAAACCAACAATTTAAAAGAAAATCAGACTTTCTTTTTAGTGCCCTCTCATTTTGTGCCTTTCATCTTCGCATGTCAATATGTTGGATTTAGTCTAGTCTGGTCTCAGTTGCTGTTCTTTGCAGAATGCTTGACTGAAGTGACCTGTTTATTTTCCCCTGGATTTTCTGTTGATGAATCTTGAATCTCTCATCAGTCAGGGTTTTACTACAATATGTGTATATATGTGTGTATGTACACTCCAGTACACGGTTACAAGGCATACACAGATAGCAACAATGGAATTGCCTGCGACAAAGCAAAGATGACTATAAGCTTTATAAAATAGTAATCCCTCAGATGTTTTTTCCTCTTGTACCTTTGATCTTTCAATCTCTGGCTTGTCTTGGACTGATGGACATACTTGATAAGAGAGTCTGCAAGCTACAGTTAGTCACACTCCAAAAAAAATGCTGTTGCTCCAACACTAAATGAATCTCATTTCAAAACACTGAATTGTGTTTTGACAGCTGGTTTAACAGCTTTCACAAACTTAGTCAAGGCTGGCTCAAATGATTGTGGTATTTTATTTTATTTATTTATTTAATCCACACTTTGTTTTTACATCCAGAAACAGAATGTCAGTGATTGTAGGTTATAAAACAAAGATTAAAAGATGTGTCAGTCATTTACTCTGCTGCTGTCTCTCACTGCATCCAGATTGGTATAGTGGGCCGCACAGGAGCTGGGAAATCAAGTCTTACAAACTGCCTGTTTAGAATTATTGAAGCTGCCGAAGGCCGAATCCTCATTGATGATATAGATATTTCCACAATAGGCCTGCACGACCTCAGGAACAGGCTCACGATCATACCACAGGTATGCACATAAACATAAACACTCTAACCTCACAGCATTCAGATTAAAATGGTACACTGACCTATCCAACCCTGTGGATGCAGGATCCAGTGTTGTTTTCGGGGTCCTTGAGGATGAACCTGGATCCATTTGACAGATTCAGTGATGAGGACATCTGGAGAGTATTGGAGCTCTCCCATCTGAAGGACTATGTAGCGGGACTGCAGGAAGGATTACAACATGAAGTCGCAGAAGGGGGAGAGAATCTAAGGTGGGCCATTAAAATAAATCTTACACATTACAAAAGAATAAATATACAGTAAATCAGAATTTCTGAAAACTATTTTTTGTTCTGAGTGCGGACCAATTTACCTGCAGCTGTAAATTTTGATTTGAAACCTGCAAACATCTAATAATTTGTAAACCTCAACAATTCCTGCTAAATACATTGTAAATATCTTCTCTAATAGACTCATTAGTTCTGTAGTTAACTGTTGCCCCTTATGACTTATGTGAATCATTTTAAATTAAATCAAATCTGATTGGCCAAGTGCACCTAAGCATATGCATCGAGACAAATTAAAAACAATAATTAGTACATGCCAGTGGGGTTATCTCCACCAATCTTAGATAATAATAAGTCATTAAACTTGTGGTGTTATACAGTCGAAGTGTCATCCACACAGCACAGGTGTTTTCGCCAACAGGTCCTCAAATATCCTCTGTCAGTACAAAACACTTCAGTATATTTAAAGAAATGACTAATCCATTTCCATTTTGAATATTTTTGTATGCTCCAAAAACCCTCTTTTGAGCATGTCCCTCTCTTCCCAGTGTTGGACAGAGGCAGCTGCTGTGTCTGGCCCGAGCACTGCTGAGGAAGTCTCGTATCTTAATCCTTGATGAGGCCACAGCAGCTGTTGACCTGGAAACAGACGACCTGATTCAAAATACCATCCGTAAAGAGTTTTCCCACTGCACTGTCCTCACCATTGCTCACCGCCTGCACAGCATTATGGACAGCTCCAGGTGAGTTAGTGTCCCTTTAAATCTCCAGGTGTCACTCATTTCACTCCTGTCAATAGCCAATTATTTTTATTTCTCCACCCCACTAATTATTTATGCAGTTGTCACATGTGGTAATTACTCCAAGTTTTAATTTATTTCTTCCCACGGTACAAAAAATAACAAATATTTTAGAGCAAACAAACTGAAAACACCATGTTATCTCTCCTTTGCTCTCACTAAACTCATCGAGTTTCATGGGCAAGCTGCTTCAACTGTTAGAGTGCATCCTCTGTTGTAACAAAAGATTGAGGGCCACAGCTGCGACGCCCAAGTCAGCCTCTACATGCACATCTGTACAGACAGTCAGACATGAAAAGATCTGCAAGACTTCAAAGTCTCCATTCTGCCGGATGTGCAAGCACCACCATAGACTAGGAGTGGTGGTGGCAGGTGGTGGAGGATGTATAAATGTATTCATTATGTCCTGTATCTACCATTTAGAGCTTTGTACTCTCCTTCATGCCACCTGGAAATGAATAATAAAAATTTCCTTTTTTAGCAAGCTACTTAAATTTATGTTGCGTCATAAATGGGAATTATGGATGCATGATAATCGGAGCCGATTCATACATCAGCAGATAATGGGACATTTATGTTATTATGTATTATTTTAATCATTCAATTGTAGCCAATAAATGATCAGTTGATAATAATAATAATTTATGCGGAATTCTTCTGCAAAACATTTGGTTTTATGTTCTATGAAAGCCAAGGTATGTTTGTACAATAGGGATATCAGTTAGATCTGGATAGTTCAGAACTGTGAAAGATAAATCATCCATCTTTGCTCACTACATCTTATTACCCCTAGGTGTGCATACTATACAGACTGTGAACTTATTTTTAAAATATAAAAATGAGAAATGATCGGTTATCTAATAGCTAATTAATTATCGGTTATCGTACAGGCTGGAAAAAAAACTGTGCAACTCTAGTGAGAATAAGAAATAAGATTATAAAAATGAATAAAAGGTCGGACAGGTTGCACCTATTTTGACAATTCCATAAAATTATTTTGAAATCCATCTGTTTTTCCATTAAAGCATCCATCCATCAATCATTCCTCTGCAACTGCGTATTCACACTTCATGACACTTGAGCAGGAAGTTCATCTTTGTCAGATTCTCCTGTGCTTGACAGTAATGATGTTGACACTGCTCAGCGGGTAACTATTTTTGCCTGTGTTCCTCCTCTACAGGGTAATGGTACTTGATGCTGGTAAAATAGTGGAATTTGATTCTCCGAGCAACCTGCTTGAAAAACAAGGCCATTTCTATGCCATGGCGAAGGATGCTGGAATAACGCGAGAAGACGTCACAGCTCTCTGATTTTGCACTTGTACTTTTGATTTAATTCCATAAATTCATTTTTGTTGGTGATTTAAAAAGCTGGATTGTGCTTTGATATAAAGACATAATGCAATATTTTTATTTATAGGAAACAATATAAAGAAATCATATTCTGTATGTAAATAATTTTTCTATCTGAACAATAAATGTTATTTCTCAAATCCTGCCTAATTGTTTTTAAAAGAAAATAACCTCCATTGTTTAGATTTTACACCCTTGCCATATTGAACACATGTTGGAGAGTTATATGAGAAGATTAATATTACTCTCATGTCTGTAGTAAATATGAAGCATAAATGCTGAAAACAAAGGTGTCCAAAGGTTACAACAAATTCATTATTTCTTGGGGTGGTAGTTACTTATGGACTCTCTGCTAATTTTGGCTCATAAATGTGTGTTTCTCCACGGCAGCAGTGCACTTCTAATTCCCTTACTTATCTATGTAAGATCAGGTGCATGCTTACACTGTTTAACGTCTGCATGAAATATCCAGAATCATTGTCTCTGCAGAAACAATGTTGATGGTTGAACAGGTCACTGTTTCCCTCAGTAATTTCATTGCTAATTTACATTTTCTACACACGGTCAGACTGCCCGTGCATTTTAAAGCAGCTGCATTTCCTCCTTAAGCTACTATTACTGTACTGAACATTTTATTTGGATGAGTGTGTGTGGGGAGAGAGGGAGATGGAGGAGGCAACGGAGAGACACAGAGGCAGAGAGAGAGTCAGAGGGGGAAGGACAATCAAAGAGGTGTATCTTGCTTGTGAAGCTGCTAGGCTTCATCCTGCATTTTTGCTTCTGGAAGGTAAGTCTTTACATTACTGATCCAAAATGTTTCCAGTATCTTTATATAGGTAGTATTAATAGCTTTAAAAGACACCGGCTATACTGGCAGTGTAACAGGTTGTACAGTGTGTGCAGATTTTAATTAGACTTGTCAGACTCCTACTTAATTAAAGTGATGATAAACGTGATGATTTGCTCACTGAAGGTGGCATGTTTTGCTCTGTAAATGCAGCAGGTTTCTGATTAATTATGTTAATTTGGGAAAAACGACTTTCATTGATCATTTGTGTGCACACTGATCTCTAATGTTAAGCTTCCCTTTATCTTTATTTCTGTATATGTTCGTCACCGAAGGATTTAGTTTGTGTCCTTGAATGGATAATTTTTTGACAACTGAAGTTGAAAATCACTGTATTTGTGTATAGAAATATATTTATTATATGGACCATATGTTTATTATGAGACATTTAGTAAAATAGCACATAAACATTTTCAATACACCAAAAAAGGATGAACCTGAATCATACACACCAAATTTACCATGGGAAAAGTGTCTATTGCAGCATTTATTTAAAAACTGAATAATTTAAAACAGTAACATTTGCAATGAATAATGCTTGCTTATTATTTTAATGGAATTTATAGATCCATTTCTCAATAATATCTTTCCCATTCTCATCCAGCTGCCTCACCATGAACCTCTCAGAGCAGATTTCATTCCTCTTCAGCTGTAATGTCAGCCCAAGTGAGACGCCACAGCTCGACATTAGTGTCACTAAAAGTGAGCCGCTGGCAATTGCTGTCCCCATGACCATCTTCTACAGCATCATCTTCTTCTGTGGAGTATGATCATTTAATACTACAGCAACAACAGTCATACAGTTAGTGATATGCTGACAGCAAATAATATTTTTTGTCACTCTGTCACTAAATGCTGCCCCCTAATGCCCTACAGGTCTTATTCAATGGTGTGAGCATACTGACCCTCCTCATGGATGCTCACATGAGAGTCAGTGCCATTCGTTTCTACCTCCTCAGCTTAGTCATATCAGGTACACACTAATATGTATCTTATGGAAGACCAGTACTTCCAAAACTGAAATCATTCAAATGAAATTTAATTTTACATTTTTAAAATTTAATTAAATTGTTACGTCTGAATTAACAAATATTTCCTGCCAAATTAACTCCACACTAAGGGCCTTCATTTTTTTATTTCATCTGTAACACATGGGGGAAACACTTTTTTCATCTGTGAAAAGAAAAGATTTTGCTGCCAAATTTTTTGTTTCATCCTGGTCTAGTATGCAACTTAACTTGCAACCTGCAAGTATAATGCAGAAATTTTAAGTCGCCAGTGCAAATACACTGAGAATGGACTTCACACTGAGGTATGATTCATCTTGTGTCCAGCAGGATGATAAATATTAAAAAGATGCCTTTTTAATTATTTTAACTCTCTTTTGTGGAAAAGCTGTATCAGATACATGTTATTGTTCCAAGCAGACCATTTTTTTTTTACATATATGTCTCATAATACATGTCTGGAGGGGATCTTTAAAGTCATAGAATGGATGACCTAATCATGGCAAGTGCTTTTGGCGTTTCACCTTCCATTTCATTAAAAATATGGCCAGGTTATACTTTGGAGTACACTAAAGATAATTCATATGCATTTCTTTTTTGGCATGTAGTAATTTATTTCAAACCTGAAACTGAAGAACTTTTAATTTAAATTAAAACATTGACTATATAATTTCAATTTGAATAAATTATTTCAATTTAATTTTGTAAGTTGTGGGCTTTGGCAGTTCTTGTTAAACTTGTGAAATGACCATCTTCTCTCTTTAAACTATAGACATTCTGCAGCTGTTGACCATCCCTGTGACTTTGTATCGCTACTACTGGGAGAGCTACCCGTGGCGTCTGGGCCAAGTGGTATGCAAGGTGTACTTCATGGTCCGCCAAGTGTACTGTGCCACCACAAGCTGGGTTATCATGACCTTCACCACCGAGCGCTATGCAGCCATTTGCCACACCATGTGGTCTGTCTCCAGCCTGAAGGTTGAGAACTTGCACAAACACCTCATGATAGTGTTCTGCGATAGTGATAATAACATAAAATGGTTTAATTCCCCACATTCAAATATGTTCATACTCAAAGAATTGTATCAAGACAAACTGCAGAAGATACTGCATACACCAGAAAAGGAAAGCCTGTATCCAAGTACAGGGCATATTCATATTCAAAATATACACATACAACAGACATTTTTAAGATGAAAATATAGAGTTGAACCAAGCCAGTCTACAATGGATTTTTCTTACCTGTGCAATATTTGTATCGCAGAATGAAATGTAAAAGAAATAAGAAGGGAAATGGGCCATATGCAGAAGATGCAATCTTCCCAAATTGCTGAAGACACTTGACATGAAATAAGCACATAACTGCAGCCCATATTTTCATTTCATAAAACTTCCAAATGGTCTTACAAATGGAATTTTCTTCCCTCTCCCTTTCCTTTCCAACAGAAGTCTCGGCTGCCATGCCTTCTTTCAGTATGGATAATTTCTCTCGCGTCAGCAGTACCCTTTGCTCTGGTCTATGACCAAGCTCGTGCCTGCATCCTGGACTACACGGCCACCACACGAAAAGACGCCTTCCATGTCTCCACCATGTGTGAGATGATAGAGCCTGATCCTGCACACATCTACAAAGGGGCTTTACTCCTGAGAGCGGTGTTCTTCTTTCTGGTGAGATAAGGGCTGTTCAATAGATTGTATTTGCTTATCTGGATCAGACATCAGACCCAATATACCATGTCAACTACAGATCCCACTGGTCTCCATCTTTACACTCTATCTGCTCATCCTGCTCTACCTGAGGAGGAATGGACGTCAAAGGAGAAACATGGGTCTCACCCGGCCGGATCCAGAAGGAAGACGAGACATCCAGTGCCATCAGAATGGAAAGCTACTTTTAAATGAAAAGAGAGCTCTAAAACTAATGGGTGAGTCATGGGAAATTATAAAACCTGTTTCTATGTTGAGGTTCTGGCATTTGGCCCAGAAAGGGTTACACCAAATTTTGTTCACATGTCCTTGCAAAGTAAATAATGTTGGCGACAACTGAGCTGTTAATGTATATTTTGTCTTCCAGGTGCAGTCGTGGTGGCCTTTTTTGTTTGCAACTTTCCCGACATTGCATCCTCACTGATGCAGGTCTATGTGGTTGTGTGGTCCGACACCGTCCTTTCTGTCTACACAATCCTGAAATCGTACTTGTCACTTCCACTGTGGTATATCAATGGTGCTCTGGACCCGCTGCTCTTCTGTATTTCCTCCAACACATTTCGCAGGGCATGCTGGAGAACTCTGGGTCGGCTCAGGCCTCACTGCTACTGGAAGTATGGGAGCATTTCTTGGCTGCGGCAGAGAAGTTCCAGTGAGGAAGCAAGCACAACAGCAAGAGAGATGATTGATGGTAAATGCTATAGGGAGATGATGGACAAAAAGAGAAATACAGTCCCTCACAAATCAGATCAGAGGGATGGAGCCATGAAAGTCCCTTTGAACACAAGCTGCAACAACAAGCACTCTGAAATGTAAGTGTTTTACTCTTTGACACTGTTCAAGACTGTACAAAAGCATCTCCTTGGGATATAAAAACAACATATTTTTTCCCCCAAAAAGTTATTTCTTTTGTTTCTGTAAGAGTTTCTTAAACGTTTTAAGAAATGTTTTTTTGAAAATATTGTACAAATATTTACTGTCTACAGAACGCGTGGATTTTACCTGTATTGTGCTGTCAAGTAACATTCCTGCTCTTTCAAAAACATGTTTGTCTAGCTAGAAATGTGTTAAGTGTTTTAAAGCTTTCACAATTGGGATAGACATGAAGATATTCAATGTAGGAATTGCATTTTTGTCATATAAAGTATGATAGCACATTTCTAAAATGTACCAAAAGATTACTGGACGAGATGTGGTAGTGTGTATCACAATGTGCATAGCTCATGTCACAACCGTGCATGTGACATACCCATTAATTAAGGGACAATATGGTCAGATTAGAGTAGAATGAGACTTTGTACATTTCTGATCCTTACATTAGCCTGTGTTTGTTAAATGCTGGGTCAGCGCCCTGAATGAGTCACAGATTGTTGTTTGCTACAGTGTTTTTCACAATCTTTATTTTATTTTATCTTTTTAAAAACCTTACATAACAATTTTGAACACAATTAATTGTGCATGTAGGTTTCGTGATACACAGTAAGTTTCAGAAAATATGTTTTTGTAACTTTGTGAATCTTGTATTTTGCATGTTTTACATATACTTTTGTCAAATGTCTGGATTTTGTAGGGAGTGGAGTGGAGTACAAAAGTCTTTGTGTTGTCATGACGACCAACAGCAGAGAACATGATTACTTAGCCGTAAGAGTCAAAAATATCAGTCCATTATAAATATTCTGCTACTATACCCCCTGATGGTGTACAGTGTAGATTCTCCATTTATGAGCACAGCCTGATTGCCACTGTGTCCAGTGCACACCACAGTAGCCTATGTCTCTTATTTCAACATGAATAAATTATCTTTCTCTGTATGGAACATAATGTCTCTTCTCTTCTCTCTAATTCTGTCTATCTATCTATCAATCAATCTATCTATAGAACTAATTCTAACTGGGCAAAATGTGACTTCTTTCTCATTATTATTTCTTTGCTCACATTCTCACCATTACCTGTGGAGACTGAGAGAAGATATGACTGACAAAGTGTGGCTGAAATTATGTGGGTTATGTCTATACAAGACAAAACTAAAAAAAGAAGAACTGGTAACTAAGACTGGACGAAGGATGGGAGAAAACACTTAAGTTGCAATGAAAAACCAGTTTATTTTACATATCTCAAAGGGAAATTAAGGTAAAATGCCAATAAACATGACAACACCAAACAGGGTGCAGGCCAGGGCAGAGAGAAGGACTGTCTGCAGCTCAGTCTTGCCTCTAGATTTGAGCTGACTCTCCCTATGACCAGACTGTGACACCAGATTCCTGGAGTGAGAGGCTTGTCAGTGTATGCGTGTTTTTCACCTTTCAGTACAATTACTTCCCAGCACCAAGACTTTAAATGTGTGTGTGCCTCTTGGATATTTGACTTTTCCCTGACTTTTGTATACATTTTTAAAAAATTAAGTGAATGCAAGTTTGAATTCCACTGGCCTTTGTAATTAACTCCTGAAAAGGTGTATGCTAAATAAATCTGCTGTTGTTGAAAAGGTTAGAACTAATTTGTACTTTCAATTACATTTGTTTTGTTTTCCGGTTACTAACATTTCCCCTTTATTAGTACACACAGGTATTAGTACAGGTGTCCGTATGGTACACAATAAATATAGCCCCGCCCTGCATGTGACGTAAGTATATTTTAGCCAATGACAGCGCTGTGGGCGGGACTAAAATAAAACAGCGGAAGATTCAAAACTAAGATGGCGGCTGAAAACGATCCCCGTAACGATCCCAAATTGGACAGAAGGTACCAACTTTTCGTTTAGTATGTCGTCAAATAAACACGTTTTTAAAAATGTAAATTGATGAGCTGTAAAGTGTAGTTCTCTCGGATGTTTAATACTAGTATTTAGTATTGTAACTGATTGTATCAGACTTGTTAGCTTTAGCTAATGTAGCTAAACTAGCAACAACTTGTTATGATAACATTAACTTATAGTAAGTAATGTTTACAGCTATTTACATATCGTCCCCTTTTCAATTTACTGCTACATTTTAAGTACCGTTCGTGCCTCAAGATGAAAACCAACCCACCATCTGTCTTTTTCTTCAACAGGGGGACAACATGCAGTGTGTTTATCAGCCAGGAAAAGCCAAACACAAGCCAGCCTGTGATCTTTAACCCGGACTTCTTTGTGGAGAGGCTGAGACATGAGCATCCACAGATCTTCTCGGATTTGGTTCTTAGCAATATCACCCGACTCATCGACCTTCCAGGGACCGAGTTTGCCCAGCTCACCGGGGAGTCTGAGCCCAGAGTGCCCCCCAGCAGCGGCTTTCTACGCTCCTTCAACTTCCTGAAACGGAAAGGTTAAGATAAAGATAAGATGTTTACTTTACTGATCCCCCAGTGGGAGGAATCCAAGTTTGGCACAGCAGCACAGAGTAAAAAAAATACTATAAAGAATAATGAAATAAACATAGAAAATGTGGAAATATTTACACTATATATGCAGTATGCAATAAAGGAATAAGGTGTGCAAAAAATATTTTAAACGGTGTATAACTAACTGTATATGTGCAATTATTACATTATATATTAGAGTTACACAGCTTTAATCAGTGGAGGTTGGACGTACTGGCTGCTGTGGTGTTGTGGAGTCTGATGATTTGATGGTACACATGAGCCTCCGAAGCGCTTTGAGGTTAGGCCAACTGTGCCATTAGAGGGCTTACAGTCTTTGAAACGCGGTTTATTCAAATTTGGTATGTGTCAAGTTAATTTCCAAAACCCACATTTCTTGTTCTGCCTGAACAACCGTCTAAGATATAAAGACATTCTGTTTATTATTACATTAGACAAAGAAAATCAGCAAATCCTCCAAGTTTAGTGGCAGGAACGTGGCAATTAATCTTCTATTGATTGAAATCAGTTAATCGTTTGGATTAAGATTAATTGATGATTGAAGTAATGGTTTGTTTCAGTCTCCACACAAATTATCTGCAGACTACATCTGTTTTGTTTGTGTGTTTTAATTGCGAATGTAATTTATGTTGCTTTCTGCTTTCGTATATTATGTAACCGGTAGGAGCAGATCTATGTGACAGATGGAAATTATTACATAGATCTAATGAATCTAGTGACTGGTGTAATGGTATAAATCTAGCTGTACACACAAAGAGTACAATGATTCTTACTGTGCCGTTTGATGCCTTTCAGATAAAGGAGTGGTTTTCGGTGCACCGTTAACTGAAGAAGGAATAGCACAGATCTATCAGCTCATTGAATACCTGAGTAAAAGTGAGTATAAATATACATACATAATTTTTGCCATGTTGTGGACACTTTCATCCAAAGCAGTTTGTGATTCTGTGACTACATACCTTTTGCATGTGTGATCTCAGAAGGAAACAAATCCATAACTTGACAGTATTTGTGTCAGACAAACACCATTAATAATTACTTGATTTAATAATCTCTTTAACTTCAAGAATTGGATTTGTTAAGAATCAAGGGTGCGTCCTAACTCCTATTCTTGTTCTCTAACTTAGTTGGAACGCAGTGAATTCGCATGAGGTCATGGTTTATTTCTAGGAAGTGATGATGTCATTCACTGAAAGTGGACACTGGGAGCAAACGCTTGGGTCAATAATTTATCTGAAAGCACTTTGCTCCTGCTGTCTCCCTCCTTCCATTTCATTCACTCTCTCATCTCATTTATGTGTCTTTGTCTCCCTATGTCTCCTTCACTCTGTGTCTACATGCCCACACACACACACCATGTCTTTTTTTCACCTTCCTCTTTGGCTGTCTCTCTCCATGTTTCTCTCCCACCCCTCAGACCTTCATGTGGAGGGGTTGTTCCGCGTGCCAGGCCACAGCCTGAGGCAGGCAGCCCTGAGGGAAATGCTGAATGCTGGGGCAGAGATAGATCTAGAGACAGGCGACTTCCACCCCAATGATGCGGCCACATTGCTTAAAGCCTACCTGGGAGAGCTGCCAGAGCCTCTGCTCACGCACAGACACTATCATGCTCATCTGAAGATTGGAGGTGATGGTTGACAAATGCACAGATCCATACCATATTCAGATCAATGTAAAGAAAATAATGTCGACCCCCCCCCTTGAACTTTTGAATTAATTCTCTTATCTGTTGTGTCCAGAGCTGACTCGCTTTGATGAGAAGGGGGATAAGACGAACGTGCCTGACAAGGAACGCCAGATTGAGGCATTTCAGCTGCTTTTCATGCTGCTCCCTCCAGCCAACCGCAGCCTGTTGAAGCTGCTGCTGGACTTGCTGTACCACACTGCTCGCAATCAGCACATCAACAAGATGTCTGCCATCAATCTAGCCACAATGTTTGCTCCACACATTCTATGGCCTAAAAATGTAAGGACCATAGGTTCATTTTGTTCTACCTGTCACACCTGTTACAGCTATCCCCTCTGTTTGCAGTCTATCACAGCTTTCTTGAATTTGTTAGTTATATAAATATATTTAATTAGTTTAATTTGTTTTTATTACAGGTGATGGCAAGTGATCTCCAGGGGGACATTGAGAAACTGAATAATGCCATTGCGTTCCTCATCAGGCACTCACAAAAACTGTTTAAGGTAAGTAGCTTTAGAGAATGTTTTCCTGGAGTTGACTTCTTATTGTGTAAGCAAAGCAATAAATGCAGCATGTTTCACTTTTCTCTGTCTGTATAGTAATGGGGTGTTCTGTTTGTCCCCCAAACTCGATCTGTGAGTCGGTTTCCTGAGTTACGAACCGGAAGTTGCAAACAGAACGCCCCCGAGGTCGTATAAACGACTTGTCAAGTCTTCTGAACTCAGAGGACTCAAGAGTTCAGTTACCAAGATGGCTACTCCGAGCATCACACGTTAGAAAACATTGTGGTTTTCTACTATTTTAAGCACATTTGTCTTTGTTGTAACCAAATGAAGAAGTTGTACACACAGCACTGTGTACTGTTACCTATACGCATGTCGCTACAGTCTTATGTGTTAAATACTGCCTAATTAGTTATTTTGTAGCTTGTGCAGCTGAAATTGGCTAGAGACGCTCCATGTTGCTATGACAACAATGCCAAGTCTTGAGCAGAAAGCAAAGCAGTAACGTTAACGTTAATCAAAACGTAATATTCAGATATCAAACTGTGAAATATGATTGTGTAATATGTAATGAACATGTGAAATCCGCGGTGAGTGCACCGTAAACGAGATAATCACTATAAACGTTACGAAATGTCCAAACTGCCTATTTCATCCAAGCAATAGCCAAACAGAACGCAAAAACCCACGGTTATTCGTTTTCCAACACAGATGTGACGTCACTCTCAAGCTGCAAGTCGCGATTACAAGACAAAAAGAACGCCCCATAAGAGCAACATGAAGTGTGATTTTTTTTATTCTGTACTTCGTCAAAACAAATAACAGGCACGTCTTTCTAAACAGATACCATTTAATGGATACATACAGTGTACATCACAACCATGTGGTAGTGAGGTTTCTTCTGTAATTTCATTATGTGCACTCTCTTTGCTTCATGACAAGTGTGGCGTTGTTGCCAGGGCTACAAGAAATGCAAACAAGCTAAGGAGGATTTACATGTGAAAGGAACATCAATAAAGGCTATTTGTTTTTTAAGGTGTCCCTGAGCAGCAGCCCTTTATATCCAGATGAGTGGCTTATATTACTTCATTCACATTCAGCAGGCATTGTTTACATGCTAGATTGCACACAGTTTACCTGTGCATGCGTAATGATGAGAGTGAGGCCATGAATTGTCCCAATTGTATTAATTTATGGTAATACTAGATCAATTCTCCACAATGGTTATTCATCAGAGGGTTTAATGTACATGTTTGCTTTTATTGAAGGCGCCTGCGTATATCAAAGACTATACCCGCTTATACTTCACAGGATCTAAAAGTCTTCAATCAAAGGTGAGTGTTTTTGTCCTTTCTTCTATTTCATCTTAATGAAACGTGTTAACACTTAATGCATTTATCTATCTAACAGCCATTTTCAAAGCTGGCCCTGTTAATTTTTTATTTGCTAACTTTTAAATCCAGTAACTTCATTGTCTAGTTATTTTAAGCTCCTTCATGAATCAAGTCTTATAACAGAACCTAGAGCTATCTAGCTAAGCTAGCTAATATCTGCTACTGGGCAAGTAATAGAATGATTTTAAAACCACCTTTTAAATAAAACTTCTTGAATATATCATTTTGATTATAAAGTTATTTGTTTTTCATATGTTTGTGCAGTGTGACTCAGCTGTACACATTTTCTTGTCACGTCTTATGTCTCGTTTCATTGAGATAACATTGTCACATGTCATCTCCAACCTTTCTAGGATGACTTGACACTCTGTTCTGGCACTAAAGATGGGCCTGTGTCTGTGGTAACAGCATCCTCCCCTTCTCCCTCCATGCGAACAGTCGGAGATGAGGTTAGCAGCACCTGCACCATCAGGCCATCTGAGACTCAGAGTTATACTGAATCTGCCCTCAGAGAGCTGTACCAGCAAGTCAGCAACCTGCCCGAGTCTGCCAAAAAGAAGAAACTCATCAGACAGGTACGCCAGGTCAGCGAACACATCAGGAGGAGAAACAACATACAAGTATTTGCTATCCAACACCTACAAGTGTTGTGTTTTTGTGTGCAGTTTGAGAAGCAGCAGACACCTTCGACTGACTCTCGAACACCATTTAGCAGGAAACATTGGCGTTCACGCTCTCTAGGTGGAATCATCAAGGTTTGTTGACAGTAATCTTGTGTACAGCAATTTTCCGCTTTCATACTTTTTTATTTGGATTTTTGAGAAAATATTTATTAATTTAAAAATATTAATATATATTTTGCTAAGAGTTTGAAAGTATTAAAAGTTTTATTGGAAAGGAAATTCATTTAACATGTTGGTAATATTTCACAGATACATGTCAGATCTATCAATTATCTTTAATACATCCCAACCTTCTAAAATATTATCCACATCCTGTTTAATGATTTTGTGTTTATTAAAACAGAGGAAGGTGTTGGGAAGCCAAGTATTAACAGAGAAAGAAAACAGCAGACTGCAGAGTCCTCGACCCAGTAGTTCAACTGATTGCTAAGGAAGAGAAACACCAGCTGTGGAGGAGTGAGTATTGCATTGTTACACCACAAAGCAAACATTTTATGAATAAATAATATTAAATATTAATATAAATATTAAAATGAGAAAACATCACCTACGTGTGTGTGAGTGTGTGAATAAAACTGAAAATTTTAGAAAACTGAAATAGTTTGTAATTTCCCCCAATGATGTTATGGATGTATATGTATGGAGAAAAGCCCAGGTAGTAATTCTCTTTTATTTTAAACCAAACCATTCCTAAAACTGTCATCGACTGGTGACAAGTACATTTCCTCATGACTGTGCTAAAGGAGTTTTCTGGCACCTGCAGCCATCTGTCTGTGATTCACCACATGCAAACCTGGCCTTACTTTGACTCAACAACACTTCCATTGCTAATGATGTACTCTGCTGAAATTATTAACAATGATGTTTTCTTTTCTGTCTCTCTCCCTCTTCAGCTCATCCAGGAATAATTGTCTTTAAAAGAATGTGCTCTTCACAACTAAGGTAACATCAGTCTGACTTTTATGTCAGGGGTATTAAAGGATCTTCTTGAGGCATCGACACAAACTGAACAGTTAATGCACTGTACAGTTTTGTTTCAACACCATGTTTAGGTCTGTACTCAGCTGTTTTTTTTATATTTTTCTCAAAGTGAAGTTTAAGTCTTACTTGGGTTATTAAGATAGCAGAGAAATCATCAAAAAATGTTCTTTATCTAAGGGGTATACATGGGGTTAATGGGGGTTAATGGGGATTAATGGACATCAATGAGGAGGTTACGTGCTTTATTTTAAGTCAATGCAATTTACCGGTCTTTGTACCCAGTCTGCAGAAGCTCCATCTCAATTTCCTTATTTCTTGTCAATTCACAGTTTTCTGCAGCATGCAAGTAACATGTATTTACACAAATTAATTTGTGATTTTATTTAGCTTTACTATCGACTGAAACGTGTTTTATTTAATTTGCAAACCTATTTGTATTTATTTTTTATTAATCATCTGGATGTTTCAAGTCCTGGAATCCAGTGTGTCACATGCATTGAAAATGCTTTTCTATTTAAATATGACATGTGTTGAAAGTTGTTATAAGTTTAGTTCAACTGAATGCCGTCAGTGCAGACCATTCAAGACGTTTATTAGAAAAGTGGTGAATTTGGAGATGTGCCTTAAAGTGAATATATCTAAATTTTCTGTTTAATGCAATCTTTATTTAACCTTAAGAGTTTCCTTTTTGTTTTCCTTTAAATTCCCGATGGCTTTAAGAGCATGCTGAAATTGATGAAAGAATACTTTCAAGTGTCAGTAAAATGAGGGAGTGAAGTCTAATAGAAGATGGGAGAGACTAAGTGGAAGGCCAAAGGACCAACTCATGTGCATTATATATTTTTTCTTTGTTTCCACTTCTTGGGTGTCAATACTGTGATACTTTAAACTACTGCTACTTTAAACTACAACTTGGTTTTGTACTTTACTTTTTAGTGTTTCTCAGGCCAGTTTTGATTCTTATGCAACATTGTATACAGTTTTATAGCTTTATATGCATTTGTGTTTTTACAGTTATTCAGCTATTTAGTGCAAGAATTTTTGGTATTTTAAACATTTTATTGTCAATTTTTATCTTTTTTTTTGTTAGTTGAATGAAGATGAATCTGTTGTTTGCCTTCTATTGTGGTTCTGAAACAGGTGCTTTCTGGGAGAGTTTGAGCCACTGCCACTTTTAAAACCTCCTTGTTGTCTTACTCTTTAGTAGCAGTTTCCAGGTCAAGAGTCACTTTGAAAAGCTGTTACAAATGAACTATAATGTGACGTCCAAAATGTAAACTGATGAAATTCATGCTACTGTGAAGCTATGCAACTCACTGTAATTAAAAGACAACAAGCTGCCTTCTGTGGTTGTCTTTCTTTATTTGAAATGTCAGAATATGTGCCTTAATGAGACATAGACATAATAATGAGCTACTTCTTGTTTTTCCTAAATTATATAGTATTTTCCCATTTTTTCCCCTGGAATTTGAGTAATGTCGCAGTCTGAAGCTGTATGATGCTGTTTCACTTGCAGCCACAAGGTGATGCTGTTTAGCTGAAAATAAATTAGTTAGCGGTATAGTATAGTAATATAACAAAACTGTACACAATAAATATATATAGTATTTCCCTTAAAGACTGTTACTTTATGCTTCTCTGTCTCCCTTGCATTGACCTCACCCAGCTTTAACAGTACATGCCCCAGTGTCCTCTAGCCAGAGGGTCAACAAATTGCTTTTAAACTTTTAGTTGGCTGTTTCAATTGCAGCAAATAAGAATAAAGAAATTTACAGAGATGCCAAATAAAATTAAACACATTTAAATGTGTTGTAGGCTAAATATGGGTGCTCACAGTAAATTATTTGCACATATTAAACATTTTATGGAGTTGGAAGGTGAGTGGGTGGATAGTAAGAGCGGAGGAGGCAGCTCTCCACAATAGGAGGAATGTCTCAGTGTGTCATTATGGTGTCCATGTCAATGCATGTTTGGTATTGTAAGTATATGTTGTAAACATCTGTGAGAATGGGCCGGCTTTTTCTCATGTTCTGTAAATATATGACAGACATCTTCCATAATAGGAATAGTATTGCTTTACAGCCAAAACTCCAGAGGGGTTTTATTTAGCGTTCCTTCTCCCGAATGAGTATGATGACTGTAAAATGAGTCGGACATACTGTAATCAACTTTACATTATCTGGTGTGCACACAAACCCACATGCATACATATATGATGAGTGGATGTGATTGTACTTTAAATGTATGCACACAGATGCCTCTCAGAGGGAGCTAATTCTGTATAGAACTGCAGTAAAATACCAAACGGATCATTTGTGTAAAAAGAAAAGAAGAAAATCAGATCAAGATTAAAATACTTTTGTAGAATCCTGCATAGTTTTGTTTTGTGTTTTTCAACAAAGGACAGTAGAGGATTTTTTCTCGTCGAGGCAAAGCTCTTCTCAGAGTAAAATACAAATAACTTTGGTCTGAAGCATGCTGTGGATTTTTCTGGATTCTAAATTTGGTTTCTTCCTGCTTTCTCTCTCACTATCAAGCACATTTTGGTTTTGTGAGTCAAGCATGCAGAAGCTAACAGATTCAGTCCTCTATTCAGCCACAGGCAGCTGTCTGCTTCGCGCTGATGAAAGTTTGGATCCTTGATTTCTAACTGCGTACAAGCTGTAGGAAAATATTAACTGAACCTCCACAGGCTTCAAGAATACTATGAATTTTTAAATTGGGTGCCATTTCACCTTAATTGCAGTTAGTTTCTCATCCTTTTCTGGTAAAGTTGTGTTTTCCAAACTCTTCTCTCCCAGACTAATTGTAAATTGTTGCCATGTCCTCCCACGGCTTTGAGAGCAGCAGAATAATTCCTGTTGTGTATTTGTGTGCATTCCTATCACGACTGTGAGAGCAGAGGGACGTTACCACCACCCCCCATTACCACTAAACACCACTGTCTCCTCTTTAATTAGCCATTCATAGAGGGAAGGTTGACACTACACTGATGCTTTTACTGGGACAGATGGGGCTTTTTTTCTGAGGTGTTTATGTGTGTGTACACCTGCATGTACGCATGCATGCGTGTGCGTGTGTGCCGAGCTGGTCAAGCAACAAAGCAGACAGATGCACACAAACTCAAATGGTTTTCTACTTGCATCTCCCTGCCCTGTTTCTTTTTTCTCTTTGTGCCTTTGTTAGTTAAAGTGAATGGGGTTCTTAGGAATATGTGACTGTGCTGATGTTTATACTGGGAGGGATCCACTCCGTAGAAAAGCCCTCTGTAGAGCTACACCAGGTGGCTCGAGCTGAGCTAAGCACAGACATGGCTGGGGGTAGCTGAGGTGTTTGTTTGGTAACTTTTTGTTACTAAACAGTAAGTAAGGAAATAACTAATTAATGAATAGTAGTAGTAGTTCCTGGCAGACTCAAGAATGATATATAAAGTGGTACAAATCAAGACAGATGCACTCCAAATCAATCTATCAATATCTATCTATCAAACTTGTGAATCTCTACAGGAGAGCCTAATGTGCCATTCTTGATTAATGCTGAATTATGTACTAAGTAAACCAATAATGTTTCATAACTTGCCATTTTTGTGCCCCATCATGTCAAAGCATTACCCCACCAAACTAACAAGTTGCAACTCAACTTAAACTAATATTTATGTATAATAGGAAAGCGGCCCAAATATTAGTTATTGATTTTGTGCCACTTAACAGCGGATTCAGCGTTAATAAAAAGTGCTTGTTAAGTAGGTGATCAGTATGCAGATTCACAGATATCCAGGATCTAATCATTACCCACTGGTTCAATAAAAAAAGTCTGCTCCAGGGACAGAGTTATACAAGAAGTGCTGATTGTTGCTCTTTTTCCTTGCAAACTTCCCTCAATTTTCTCTTCCTTATTTTCACCATTTCTTTTATTGTGTGGATAACTGTGAAAATTGCACTTTGGATTGAACTCATAAAAGCAAGAGGTCCATTTCTGCCCACATCCAGAATACAAATTTGCAATTCCACAAACTGCAAATCAATATGGATTTGGAAAAGTTTCCTGAAGGCTACAATTACACTGTCAACGGCGGCTGGACTCTAATATATCCACTGTTTTAACTAAATGTCAACCTTAGCGAAATAATATTTACAAAAAATTCCTTTAAAGTAAATAATGGCTCGCAGATGCTGCTTATCATTCAATTTTCCTTTCTCAACACACTCGTCCAGTTTATGTCTTTATGCTTCAGGGAATGCATGATCCTGGCATTAAGAGAGGGATTGTGTGCCAGTTACTTCCATAAATCCAAATAACAGAGCAGGTATGGTTGTGAGTGTAGCTGTTTGTCTTTTCATTTGTATATATTAGAATATAATCTCTGTTCCTGTGCCTATGCTGAACTTAAAATATAGTGTTGACTTGCTTTTTATGGCTGTGGTCTGTCTTCCCAACAGATCATGAATATTTGTGTATGTGTGCTTTTCAACCCCAGTTTCCTGCTGTAGCTTCTGTCTGTGTGGTCACACTTGATCTACATGTTAAAACCCACATTTACAGATTATTTATTCCGGCTTTTCGCCTCCAAGGACTGAGGTGTTGATTCCTCTCTTCCCCGGTGGATTCTCCTTCATTACATACTCATTCACACACACACACACACACACACACACACACACACACACACACACACACACACACACACACACACACCACACACACACCCGCCCTGTCTCCCCACAGCCTCTCCCTTCGGGCAGGGGTTATGCAGTGTCATGCAGGTTAGGTCTCTCTCTGGGGGTTCGCCTGGAGGCAAACCTGAGAGAAAAGAAGGAGTGGAGTGAGTGAAAAAGAAAGATACTTGGATTAGATTTTTGTATTTTGAATAGAATCAAGGGAATGAAAGAAGGATCTCGAGAATGAGTGTGAGTTCAGGCAGGGTTCTGGGGGGGTGTTGTGTGAGGAGGGAGAGGGGTGGGGGAGGAGAGGAGGGGTAGGGGTGGAGTCGGGGGCTCTGCTATTTGTAGATCCTTGTGATGGATGACTGGTGTGTGTGTGTGTGTGTGTGTGTGTGTGTGTGATGTAAGAGAGAGAGAGAGAGAGAGAAAGAGACTGGCTTTTTTTCCTTTCCCTATTCCCTCTCTCCTCAGGCAAGCAGAGCAGAGCGGGACTGAGTAAGAGGAGGACAGAGACGCAGACGTGTGCAGACCAGAGCACAGCAACTCCACAAAGACAAGAGAGAAGAGTTTGCAAGGAGATAATAAGAGAAAGAAAACAGCTTTTTTTACATCAGCAAACTGTGGTGGATATCATACCTACATCAAAAGAAATCTAGAGGAACAAAAAGGATTTGCTTTGCTTCACAGCTAAGAGGAAAATATTAGCATTTGTTATAGTTTTGTTTTTTATTCATATTCACCACAAATATTGAATTATTCTAGAGGACTTGTGAGGTATAGCAGGTCTCTTGGTTTTTGCAGAGAAGCAGAGAGACAAAGGTGGACAGACAGAGAAGTAGGGGTTTGTTGAAGAGGAGCTGGCTGCAATGGTGGTGAATATGCCCGTTAGAGGTAGCTGTTTTGGGGCAGGCATGGGCAGGCTGGCCGGGCAGCCACTCTGGATGTGGGTGGTGATGCTCTCTGCCCTGCTCATGGGCAATGCCAGTGCCTGCCCAGCCCTGTGTACCTGCAGTGGCACCACAGTAGACTGCCATGGACTGGGTCTCAGAACCATGCCAAGGAATATTCCCCGCAACACTGAACGACTGTGAGTACCATCTGTACTCTAGCTCCTCTGTGTGTGTGTGTGTGTGTGTGTGTGTGTGTGTGATAGAGAAACTCCCTGATGGTGTCCCTCTGTCTTCTTTTGTCACTGTTTCACTTCTGTTTCCTTGCTATATTGTATTGTATTGTAATGCTTGGTGCACACGACTTTGCTTAGACTGAAAGAGAACAATAGCCTTGCCTGTAAAGCTGTGTGTGTATATGTGTATGTGTGTCAGTCAGTCAGTCACTGGCATTCCAGTCAGGTATAAATAGGCATGAGGGACTGGAAAGAGCAGGAGCAGATGTGTGCCTTTCACATGTGTCCATAATTTACTTACCTGCTTGTTTATGGTTGCTGCATGTATTTTGTATATATCTTTTCTAAAAGCAAATATAAGAAGTCTTATTTGTGATCCACTTTTTAATTTGGCATACATTTTGAGATTAGAAAGTAAAGTTTGACTTAAAGTTTAAATTATTGTGAGTCAGAATCAGATTTGCTGTCTGGTCTGTGATCAGCTTAGATTCTGTTAAATTTGGGAATATGTTTACCCCACTCATATCATGTGTCCTGTCTGTGCCTCTCTTTATCTC